TTTTATTAAAATTCTCCTAAATATATTTATAAATATGAAAAATCAATCAAATGTGTCAGCTTCTGAAAAGTGACATGGAAGTATAGGTGGCAGAACAATACTTTGTTTGCATTTTTTAAAAACTGATTTTCTCTGCTTGAGGGAACACTTGAACAGTTTTGTGTCCTGACCTCGTCTTAGCCCTTAATGATAAAATGATAATAAGACTTTAGTTATCACAGGATGTACCAAACAAGAGATTAAAAGATTTTTCTCTCTCTCCAGGGTTCGACACTTACATTTTTAGGCTTAGTCTGGCCGGACTAGTGCCTCAATACTTTAAAAAAGAGAAAAGAAACGTCATTGTTTAATAACGATTAATTTAAAATAAAGATAACAGTGATTTTTTTTAAATAAACAAAGCATTTGTTAAAATCTCATGATCAGGAAGTGCGATCGTATTCCTAATCTCGTTTTGTTTTCTTTAATGTTATACATATCATCCAAAACATCTTTATGTGTTATACTACATCATGATCGCTAAAATATTTAGTTTCATATCAATCAGTCCCAAAATAAAGCGCCAAGTTGGCTCGGAATTACTTAACTACCCGCCAAGAAGCTAGAAAGCTAAAAATACATGCGGGGTTTTCCAGTAAAAGTTGTGGAGAATTGAACATCGTTAATTTATTCAATTTGTTTTCCAGAAATTTTTATTGGCCCATTCGGACTAATTAGCCACAGATTTTATTAGTCCGAATGAAAATGTATTAGTCTGAGACTAACAGACTAACATTAGTGTCGAACCCTGCTCTCTGTGTGTGTGTGTGTGTGTGTGTGTAATATATATTATATTAAAAATATTTATAATATATTTATAAATATAGCTTTAGGGATAAGCATGAGTTGTTGTATATTTTTAAAAAACAAGGAAGTTAATAATGCAAAGCAGTTCATTATTGTGATTAAATATAAATACTGATAATTGTTATATCACGAGGTTAAGAAGGGTCTGAAGATGGTATAGCTGGGAGGAGTTATTGTATTAAGAAAATTAATCCCCCCTTGCATCTGCAGTGCACCCCCTTCCACCTCCCATCTCAGGGGACCTTCAATCCAGTACAGTTCCATTTAAAAATACACAGTTACATCTGTACCAGCTGTTGAATCTATGTTAAAAGTAGTCTGTTGGTAGTTTTTAGAAAAACAAAAGCCAAAAAAAAACCCAAACTATATCCTGTCTGTAAAATTCATTTGAAATTAGGTTTAATTGTGACATATGGAATAAGATTATACACCAATATTTCAAGATATGATTCACTGAAATATTTAATGCGTAGATAAGCTTATCATCAATGCTTACAGGGAAAACATTTATTTAAGATAATTAAGACAATTGCAAACTAAAAAGCTAAGTTTATAAATATAAAATTGATAAATATGTTTTTTAGGCCCCCTGCCAGCCTTGACCTATATAAAATGTCATGTTTCCTTGTAGTTTAAAACCGCAGAGCTATAGTCAAACAAGGAAGTATTTCTGTGTAGACCAGCTCGAGTTAACTGCCTCACACATTGCCAAATTCACGGAAATTGAAATGCAGGGAAGCACTTATTCAGACAAACCCCAGTTAGTGTGCTGAAACATTATGTACACGGGCAGGTAAGTTGAATTATGATTTTCTTCATAATGGAACCAAGCATGTGTAAGTTAATTATGAAGTAAAAAATACATGATAATAAATTTGTCAAAAGTCTTTTAAAAACTGATATATTATTCCTCATGCTCTTTGTTAAGGAAATGATGCATGACAAAGGGCGTGCTGTATATGTGCATTACAAACATGTGTCAGGAAAAAAAAAAACCAACATAATAATTGGATTTAAAAGAACTTTTCTAAATAGGTTCAGGTAAGGAAGTGATATACCAATTTAGAGGTGGATATTGAGTGCACCAGTGTACAATAGCTAAATACAGAACTATTAATGGTGTAGTTGTGTTTGCATTATGGTGTTACATACCTGAGAAAGGGAGAAATTAACATCAGGTAATAAAAGATGTATGTTCTACCTAGATCATGATGATTTACCTCAAAAGAGATTGGTGGATCCAAGTTTTAGTGAAGATAATTAGATTTCATTTTAATGAGTTTATATTTAGTAAATTTCTTGGAATGTTCAAATCAAAACAGGAAACAGACAAAAGGAATGTAAAAATTCTGTTTATTTATCATGTCTGTGAGAAATGTCCTTTTGTTGAAAATTTAGAGATTTTTTGTGCATTAGATGGAGCTGCATACATTTAGCACTTTTATTTAAAGAAATGGAAAATTTACATACACATTGTTTAATGCAAAAAAAAAAAAAAATGTATATGAATTAATTAATTAACAAATTTCATATCTCTTAGCTGTTTATTTTTGTCCTTTATTGCAAACTTAGTATTTACTGTATATATTTCTTAATGAAAATATCAGTTTTGGATTTCAATGAACAATGTTGCCATGGTTACTAAAAATAGAAATTTCTTTGAAATACTTTCAAAATGCATGGTTACTAAAAGTAGAAATTTCTATGAAATACTTTCAAGATGCTACTCTTCCTACAGTTTTCGTCTGATTTCAATATAATTTGGCACACAAGTAGACTACAATAAGATGCATAATTCTCTTTATCATTTTTTTTTATTTCAATGAACAGTGTAGGCATGGTTACTATAGTTAGAATACTTTCAAAATGCTACTCCTTGGCATGCAAGTAGACTACACTGAGATACATAATTCTCTTAAAAAAAGCTTATCCTTTATTCAGGGGCTGACAAATAGATTTTTTAGGCACTTGTCCAAGGGCAAGTGCATGGTCAAAATTCACTTGCCCTACCTGAAATTTTGCTTGCCCCACCATGACCATAAACTAATACTTTATATATTTATATAATTTAATTCTGGTTGTAACGCTGTATTTGATTGGATAAAAAATTTACTTTATATCGTATAAAATGGGTTGCCTACGTCACAATGACTTGCGTCAAAAACGTATCGATCCGCCTGACGTTACATTCAAATTTTGTACAAATTGAAGTCAATTTTTAAGGACAATCATCTTTTTTTCTTGCACCAAATGAATGAAAATTAAATTATAAGGAATGAATTTAATAGCTACCCAAACATAGCTACAAAACTGGGTTGGAACAGTTTACGCTTTTTTATAAACCGCTTCGCGGTTTATAAAGCGTAAACTGCCCCAACTCAGTTTATACCGTATAAAATGGGTAGCTATTAAATTCATTCCTTAAATATATTAAAAAATAGGAAGACAAATATTGAGTAGATCATGCAAGCCCCTATGCCTAGCTTTATTTATTAGACTTGCATGTGGATTTAAATTTTTTTTAAGTCACTTGCCTGCGGACAAGTGGTTGATAAAATTTCACTTGCCCACCCCTAAAATTCACTAGCCCCGGGCATCAGGCAATGGAATTTGTCAGCTCAGTGTTTATTTATGCCCCGGTATAAAATGGCGGAGGCATGTATAGTATTACCCTGTTCCATCATTCCATCACTGACTTTCCGTTTATTATCTTGACAACAGTTGCATACATTCAACTCACATTTTAATATGGATATGTCATAGGGATATGCAGGTCAAGTTTGAATTTGGTCATGGTTCGATGATTTTTGAGAGAGTTATCCCTCTTGAACTTAGGAAAAAAAAAAAAAAATTTCCATTTCCACTCTCTAACTTTTGTAGAGATGTATTTATAAGGATGAAATTGCGTATGCAGGTATTTTACTAGAATATTTAGGTCAAGTTCAAATTTGGTCATGGTCCAATGATTTTTGACAGAGCTATCCCTCTTGAACTTAGAAAAAATAAGAAATTTTTAGTTTCCACTCTCTTACTTTGGTAGGGATGTATGTATAAGGTGGAAATTGCATATGCATGTATTTTACCAGAAAATACAGGTCAAGTTGGAATTTGGTCCTGGTCCGATGATTTTTGACAGTTTTCCCCCATGAACTTCGAAAAGATTTGTGCAAACAAATTTAAAACTAAATATTTGAAATTTTGGTGCATGTGGGGGCATTTGTGGCATTACAACACATCTAGTGATTTTGATGCTGTGGTGAAGTTCTACCTTTAGTTGATTTAATTTATTTTTGTTTTTTAGATCGGAATTACTTTTGTTTTTGTTCTCTTACCATTCTTTCTGATGCTCCTAACCAAAAATACAATTATTTTGTTGTAGAAGATGTCCATTTCCATTACAAGATTCAATCTGTTGGTTTTTTTTTTTTTAACCACGACTATTTGAGCAAATGCCTTTCTAAAAATATTAAGCTATTTACTCATTTGTACTTTTATCTTGGACAAAGATGTTTGGAGATGTAAAAATTTAATTATAGCAAAACAAGTGTAATTATATGAATGTTAATATTGAATTTTGTACAAGTTTTATGATTGGAACAATTATGATTACATTTTTTTGTATTTGATTATAATGTTGATCACTATTTGTTACTGATAAAACTGAAAAACAATTTTTCATTGGTCCAATATGGATCAAAGCATATTTATCATATATATCCGATGCAGATATTATTACATATTATAAATATATGGTATGTAAATGTATTGCTAAGAAAATGTAAATTAACATTTTAGCTATTTCAGTCTATGTGTGCGTATTTTGAAATGTGAACACCTTTATATTTCCTCTTTAATACTTTCAGTGATATATGGGAAGTTTTCCTGAATTTTTCAAGCCTTATATTTAATCATCACCTGTCAAATTGTTGCTATTAAATTTTGTTGTGTTGTACGGTTGACACACACTTATTTCAGGGCAAAGCAGTTTGATTGCTTAAAAACACGGATGTAAATAGAAATTACTCAAAATCACTAAAAAGCATGTGATAAATAATTTTGATTAATCGTATTATGTGGTAAATTAACACTTGGCTTATAGTTTTCTTTTTTTTTCCAGAAACCGTTAAGATCATTGAGATAAGTCCTTAAGAGCTATGAAGGACTTCGAGGAGTTTCCTGTCGTACAACGCCTTAAAGGCCGGAATCATTGTCTTGGTGACAAAGACTGTGTAGCGAAGGTGGTCTTCCACGGAAATTATGCAATCGGTACTTTAGACAAGTGTGAAGGAAAGTCCCATAAGGTTGCAGCTTCAAGTGCAGACATTACAAAACAACCACGGTATAACTGTCAGGGTCAAGGTTATTCAAAGGTCAATCAGAAGAAAAACCTGACAGAACAGGCCAATAGGAGAACAGTGGGTAGAAATGCTGAAAATTTACATGCAATATCTTACAACAAAAGAGAGAGACAGGGGGACAGGAAGAATATAAGTAAAATGAAGAAAACTGACACTGTGTCTGCATTATGCTCAGACAACAATAAGATTTGCCAGGAAAAAGGCAAAGAGGATAAACCTGAAAAGTTTGAGGAAGAGAACAGGGAAAGTGAAAGGAAGAAAATGAAAGTAGATCCTAGCGGCCAATGTAGCCACTCAGCCAGGAAAGCAGGAGAAAAGTATGAGTATAAATCAAAGAGTGTAGTCCATGCAGGGGAAGAAAAGAAAGACAGAGAAAAAAGAGACAAATCTGAGATAGACAGAAAAAACAAAGAAAGGCAGATCAAAATGAGGTAATGTCATTTGCTTTTCTTTTTTTGGAGACAAGTGCACATATAGCATTTACAGTGACTCCACAAATAAATTAAGCATGAATTATGTATACATATCCAGTCTGGTTTTGAGAATACTTGTATAAATTTGTAACAATATTTGTTTCTACTCCATCACTAACTGGATTCAAATAAAAAATAAAAAGAATTAAAAAAAACAATGAATTAAAGTAAAGAATTACTTGTAATTTGTATGCCAAAACTTTTTTCTCTTTTGTAAGGTATGCAAATTTTGATGATTCATCTTTGAATAAATTATCCAATTTGACAGCAACTGTATGTGAATTTGCATGATTTAAAAGCGAAAGTGCTTCTTAGGTTAAATATAACCAATTACTTGATTGATGACCCACATTTTGTATCCATGCATTTCAGATTAATTAAATTCAAATACTTTAACGTGTGTCTAGTTTTATCCATGTTTATAGCCTGTTAAACTGAATTTTGTGAAGTTAATTGTGCCATTTAAGTTTTACCCATGTTTAACCCTTTTAAATTTTATGAATTGAAATAATTGCATCATAAACAAACTTCATGTCAATGTTATTTCCTTGCTTTTTGCGTGATTGCATGTGAGGCATATGGGAAGTTTTAATTTCCTCCTACATGATCTTGAATGTTTAATTTATATAAAAAAAAGCAATGTCAGCTTTGGTCAATCTAATTTACCATCCGTTTCCGTATTAAGTTTTTGAACTGTTGTGCCAAAATTTTACAATGCTTGTGAAATTAATAAAAACTGAATTGAAAAATGTAAAATTGAGGACTTCCCGGATCCTTGATATATATATATAAATATATATAAATATTTATGTTGACTGGTGTTAGGTCTTATTTATTCTATCATTCATATCCCACTTCAAACAAATAGAAGATAGAACTGTAAAATAATTGATCACACAACATTTTAAAATTACAAAGTGCCACAAAAGATTTGATGGCAAAAAATTATAGGACTTAAGCTTTGTTACACATTATATGATAAAAATGCAAGACTTAGCTATTTAAGGAAATGGACAACTAATTTGACTGAAGTTGAACCCTTTGACCATGTTATACTGTATATAAAAATAAGCCAGTTATGACATGTGGGTGGAAGGGGGGGGGGGGGAAGGGTTCAAAACATGAACTAGCATTCATGCATAAAATTTACAAAGCATAGTAATAAAATTTACAAAGCATAGTAATAAAATTTACAAAGCATTATAGTAATAAAATTTACAAAGCATTATAGTAATAAAATTTACAAAGCATAGGAACAAAATTTACAAAGCATAAAAATAAAATTTACAAAGCATAGAAGTTGTCAGAGATGAAAAAGCTCCAAAATAAACATACATTGCACATGCATCCTTCAATGTACCAGCTACTTGTCATTGTGGGAAATTTAATGTAATATTTTAATTTAAATAGAAATTTGACAGTGCATGAAGTAATTGTTTTACGGTATACATGTAATTCAAGGTTGAGAATTTTTTTTTTAAAATTTGCATACTATTTCACAATTTCATTTTCTTATTTATACATGTTATATGAACATGTATTATTTAAAATTAGATACATTAGAGAAAATAAGCATGCCACCAGAATTTGTTGTGTGTGTTTTTTTTGTTTTTTTTTTTATGGTAAATTTGTGATATGCAGCTGATATTGCATATTTAAATATTTCACAATTTCAATTATTGAATATTTTATTGCAATTTTTTTTCCCCAGACAGTTAAAGCAATCATTGCAGACACCAGTTGATACATACACTTCAGAAATTTAATAAATTAAAGTCTGCTTGTGTTTAAGTGAAGTGGGCTAATTTGAACATAGCCATTTATGATTATATTGCAAGCACGAAATTGTACAGATTTAGTGGCGTAGCTCCATGTTGTAGGAGTATGGGGGCAGTGAACACTAAAAACAAGGAAGCCTATGTGAAATGTTTATTTTTATAAATTTACAGACATGAGATCTTCTAGCATTCAACTTCAAATTCTAGTAAACAGGATATAATAATGTTATTCATATCCATAAATAGATAAATATTGTATATATATTTTCAAGTACATGTATTGGAAAAAAAAAGAAAAATGGTGCAAAAAAAAAAATGTAAGCCAAAATGTAAACAGGAAATGATTAAAGGGCGGTGAAAAAATATCTTAAAAATAGATATATAAATTGAAAAAGGATATTATAATGATCAATTGAAAGTCAAGTGCTATTCAAACATGTTTAAGCAATTATGAAACTATGACAGTTGATTCTTTTTTTTTGTAATAGCTTTGAAACATAGACTAGATTAGAACTGTAATATTTAGGTACTGCATAAACTATCTCTGTGTTAATAACTTTTGAAAATGAAATTAAATTTAAAATTATGTTTAGTTCTGCAAATTTTGAATGTTAATCATTTTAAACAATTGAAGACATGTCTATATTTGTTAATGATTGAGACTTTTCCTTTTATAAGGCATCATAATTTTGTATATTGATGACAGTTCCAAAAACTTGTTTTAGCAGTGCTTTGCATCATAAATGTACTTGTCTGCCTGCAAGGTCACAGTTTAACCAACAAAACACAAGAACCTATAATCAAATCATGATTAAAACAGAGATCTTTGAGTTCAGTACCAGTACCTGCTTTGTTATATTTATTTCTGTCTACTAAATGTTATAGGTTGAATGGAAGAAAAGAGACATCTCCCAAAGAATTGTTGTGTGACCCAGTGGAGAAGATGGCCAGATACTGTGAATATTTGGAACCAAAGAACTGGACAACCAAAAGGTATAGGTTTATTGAAGTAGGTTCAGTCAACTCATTAACTCTTTAATCATGATAATGCTAATAAAGAGGTGAAGGAACATCAGCCAATGAAAATTGTCAAAATATTAAGTGCAGCAACCATTGAATACTGTAGGAATGCAGAGTAAGGCAACCAATGAAAACTTTCAAAATGATTAAATTTAAACATTATTCATGAACAAAATATTGGGATTAAAAAGTTTTTAAAAAAATGAACAATTTAAAGATTTTCAAATATGTTGAATTCAGAAATACATTACAAGTTAGATATGTAGTGTGTTTCTAGAAATAAGTATGTCAACTTGTTTGCAGTGAAAATTAAACAGAAAGTTGTAGCACTGTGAAGAAATTGTGTTGAATAAAACTTCATTTTCAAAATTAAGTACAGTCAAACCTCATTATCTCAAATATGACGGGACCAAGAAAAACTGAGAGATATTTGAGAATTCGAGATATCAAGGGTAAAATACTTAAAGAATAAGTCGCGGGACTTCCAAATCACTTTGACATATCCATAGTATTCAAGATATCAGTGTTTGAGATACTGAAGTTCAACTGTATTTCAAATTTTTGTTATCCAGAGATAGCCATGCCAAAGATGACAACAGATTCAAAGAGAATTTGGAAAAAAGTTTGAAATCAGAGAAGGGCACCAGCTTTAATGACTTAGAGAACCAGCAAAAGGAATCCAATATGAACACACCAAAGAACTCAATTCAAGAAAAGCAACTGACACATGGCACGAGTCAGCAAATTCACCAGCTCCACAGGCAAAAGTAAGTATTCTGGATCAAATGAAGATATACTAAATACATCTGTACTTTATCAGGGTTATTTTCGCCCCATGTTATTTTCACCCTTTCACACTTAAGAACAATTTTGCCCCATTCAAATTCACCCAATCACAGTTCTATTTATTTAAGTTAACTGTGTACTTTGAATTCACCTTGTTGTAAATTTGCCCACCTGTGATTAGGGCAAAAGGGGCAGAAATAAAATGGGGGTGAAATTTTCCCTGTACATGTAAACGTACATAAGATAGAGCACACAAAAGTGTAAAGTTCCTTTTCAACCGATTAGCACAATCATAAATAAGCACTCCTGAGTCTTGAAAACAACGTGTAATAGCTTAATCAATTTGTCTAAGTGTGAACATGAATTAGCGGAGAAGAAAGGCACTAAAATAAGTATGTTTGAGTAGCTGATTTTTTCAACACAGCAGTCACAGTCAGGTCAAGAGGTCAAATTTGTCATGATAAGACAAATCTGCTGTCAGAAAAGAACTAAATAGTGCTCAACAAATCAAATTTTGTTGTTTTATTATCCAAAGTTTGTAATTCACTAAACTTGAGAAATTCAGGTCTCATGGCATATATATCTTCCTGATTTTTACAATTGAAAATGGTGCATGTTTTAAGACATTTTTATGACAATGTTATTTATCTTTAATGCTTTGTACAGAAAGTATCAGTAAGTGGAATTTGAGAAATAATTATCTATTTTTTTTTGTTTAGTTTTTTTAGGGTGTACTTGTACATGTATATATATATATATATATATATATATATATATATATATATATATATATATATATATATATATATATATATATATATATATATATACACCCTATAAATGTGATTATTCATGTAAATGGCAAAGCTGTTTGTGCAAGAATTACTATTCACTATTAGAAATATTTCTTGTGCCAATAGTGAATCAAACAGTCATGCATGGACATGTGTATGAGTTTATGCACAATTAAATATCAGTTAACTTAGATATGTGTGTTACTTTGTTATCTTTTGCAGGAGTGCTGAGGAACACATGGGAGATCTAGGAAACCTGGTGGGGGATCTAAACTCTTTGTGGGGCCTTGCGTCCTTAACTTCTCCAAGTTACATAACCTTTTCACCTGAAAAGTTGTTCATTAAAGGCAGATTTAATGGTATGAAAAAATAATACAAAAACAAAAAAATAATTCTCTTAAAGTTCAGTTCTGAATAAGAGCTTAAATGTAGAAGTGCTGACAAAATGATTAATGTTTTTTCATTTTTTTATGGTGATCTTCATGGTTAATTTACTCATTAAAAAACATTATGATATATTGTGGAGAAAGAAAAAAAAAGAGTCAAACTGCATTTTAAGGAGAAACAGTAAACCCTTTGATCATGCAGTTCAAAAAAAAAAAAAAAAAGATTCCCTCTTGCTATTGAAACTAATTCAGACTTCAATGCCACAGAAAAAAAATCTTTCTTTTTTTTTTTAATTGCAATACAACTTTATTATATTTGAAATATTTAGAATGCAAAGCAAAATCAGATGAAGAAAATCAAATTTCAAAAGACACAGAGTACAAGACCAAAGAAGGATTAAATCTGGATAAGGAAGTTGGCTTTAAAGAGGACTTGGTCCCCGAGAAAGGGGAGAAGGAAACTAAGTATGACAAAAACATCATCAAGCACCCTAATGACCTTCAGAAAGAGATATCTGACCTTGAGAAGGACATCGAACAAAATGGTAATTTGATTTACTAACATATTGCGATTAGAAAATATATTTCATTGCTAAATTAAAAAAAAAATAGTCAGATAGTCCTTTAGATAAAACACAATAATCAATATGGACATTTCATATGGTCTTAGAAAACAGCTGCACAGACCTAATTTTAAATTTTTGAAACTAAGGGACTTGCATAGTCTAACTCACAAATTCAAATTATTTGCTATGACCGTATAAGCATACATTTTGCCTTCTTTGCAGAACTTGTCTTAACACAGTTCAGCATGAAACATGAAACACCTTTAATATTTACTTATTTTTCCCCTTTATTTGTTAAACCATCAGCCATTTGTCTTTGACAACATTCTGTAGCATTTTTTAGTAGAACTTATTAGATTATTTCCATGGAGATGTTTTTGTGCTATATTTGACTTCTAGTGTCCATGTATTTGTTATGCAATGATATTTACATTTGCCAACGCGCTTCCTTAAATGACAATTAATACTAATGAAATTGACACTCAATTTTTCATGATATGAAGTAAATCATGTGATCAGACTTTCGTACGTACAGCGGGCAAATTGCACGAGACATTTGGAAAGTATATTCTGTTGTGTCACATGATATCGTACATAAATGTTAGTTGCGCTTTCATAATCGAGTCTGAAAAGTGTAAATTGTTTATTAACAATTAATTGTTTTTTTAACAAGTTGGTTGCTGCATGATCAAATCTGCTATTTTGCCTTTCTGGCATTATAGGATTTAATCAGATGACCAACTTCATATCATATCCCAGTAAAACTCTAAATTTCCTTTATCTATTTTTCCATATAAAGTAAATTAATTGTTATTTTTAACATTGACAGAAAAAATTTTCCGAGAAATTCAGGAATGCATCAATGGCCTTGAATTTAAGTGGTCTCTATGGACACCAGAAATCGTAGAAGAAATGCTACAAGTATGCACTGTATATCAGCGTACATCCACAGCACTGAATGGTAAGATTATCAGAGGTAGATGTGTAATTATATGTGGAATGGGTTTCTGGATGAGTTCTCTCCCCTGATCCAGATCCTCCTAATATTACATATAGCCGTACTTAGTAACATATTGTGAGTCAGGAGTTTGTTTTTTGCCAAAACAATATTGTTATTTTTGTGCATTATGTCAATATTTTCTGTGTTATGCATCATTATTTTTTTGTTTAATGTCACGTGTTAAAGTGGGGGTGTTTCTGTCTAAATTTGGCATTGAATGAGTAATAAATGTTTGATTATTTCCGTCATGTTCGTAAATGTACACTTAGTAAAAAAATCTTTCCTTGTAATCACTTCCTCAAATTTTATGCATGTATTTGTATGTCCTTGTCTGGTTCTTTTTATAGGCGGCCTTTTATAGGTTTAAAAAAAAAATTCAAATGCAAAGTGTATACAGATTTGATGTTTTTCAGCACAGTAAAAACACATCCTAAGAAATATTCATCCCTGGAATTATAAGCATGTACCTATATATACAAGAAATTCATTGTTTGATGTAGACTTGTTATATAAGAGTAGTTGTACAACATTTGTATAGTTGTATGACAGGGGCTACATTTTACATATAAAATACATGGTTACTGCGTTGAGATATAAGTGATTTTTGAGCGAGGGTAAGAAAGTGTGATAAAATCTGAGGTTTGCTGAGCCTTATGTTTTTTCTGACCTGAGACCAAATATCCTTTATATTTTAATTAAGACAGTTACCACATATTTTGTTTATCCTGCAAGATAGTTTTACATTTGACCTCCCAAATGAGCTATTCTCAACAAAATTAAGACAGTTGAAACTATGATGCCATGGCATAAACAGTGCCAATTTTATGACATATTATAATGCTTTTAAAGAGCTATATTTTGACATTGATGGTTGTTGCAGGAAAAAATGCTTTATGTAGTCTGTATGTATATGTATATAAGTCTTTAATTTCTATTGTAAAAAGCATGCAAGAAAAGAAGACCTGAGGAAAAAGAACACAAGCGTCACATTCACAAAGCAGCTTTAAGCAGGCTCCCTACATCTGATCAGAGAAGAAAGGGAGATAAATTATTCAGCTCAGACCCTAGCGACAGTGATGGCAGGGGACATAACTCTTACAGAGGCAGGGTAAGATTGATATAAACGTTATTTTCTCTTTTATACTGTAAATGTATTGCATTTAGCTGTGTATTCTTTTTAGCGCCTTTCACGGAATGCAACTTCCACTAATTCACGTACAATGCTAAATGTCTTGCACATGTAGATATAAATTAGAACATACGGAAATGTGCTAAATCAAATCTTCGCTAACTTGTTCAAAAATCAATTTCCGCCAAATATCGTACACGCTGAATATAATACATTTACAGTATTAGTAATTTACAAGACACATTTGCAATACAGTGGTTAGCTTGAGTATGGAAATTTCCTTTAAATTTTTTCCTCACTGACTGATGAAGTTATTTCATTGTGAACAAATAGAAAGTATTTTTTTTTAATAGAAATCCAATGGAGAGGATCTTAGTGAGAAAGAAAATAGAAATCATGATGATGAGAAAGATAGAGACGAGAAGGTTGGTAGAAAAGGAAACTATCTCCTTATGACTGTATACTGAGTTATTTTCACCCCATGTTATTTTCGCCCTTTTACACTTGCAAACAATTTTGCCACGTTTTAAATTCGCCCAGTCAAAGTTCTGTTTAAGAAATGCTACTGTGTTCTTTGATTTCGCCCCGTTTTAATTTTGCCCACCTGTGAGTAGGGCAAAAGGGGTGTAAATAAAACTGGGGTGAAAATTTCCCTGTATATAATGGAAATCATATCAAGATGTGTTCTAGTTTTCAAGAGGAACTACACAAAAAGACTAACTAATATATAAATCTTCCTGCTCGGAAAAAAATTGCATGTGCACAGTTGTTAATGTATCCTGATTTTGCAAGTAACAAATTATTTAATTAATAAAAAATTATGAAAGAAATGTGTATGAAATAAAGAAGGAAACCATCTAAAATTTTCAATGTTGGTCTTTGGGAAATAAAAGTTTCCATCGTATATCTTATTATACTCTGCAAACAAACTTCAGGAGATGTGGGGATGAGGGTATGGAATATACTGATATCACCCTGTCCTGTCTATCTGACAAACAAACTTCAGGAGATGTGGGGGTGAGGGTATGGAATATACTGATATCACCCTGTCCTGTCTATCTGATTTTTTCCCATCTTTTAACATACACTGTATGTTTAGAGATTATCATTAAAACTGTTCGTATTATCTCTGAAGCTTCCCTAAGAGTGTTTTTTTTTTTGCTATTTGTTGATTTAGAATAACGGAGTTATCATTCCCATTAGGAAAGATCAGGTCAGAGACAGAATTTATTTATGAATATTTGACTCTAATTTAGGAGGATCCTCCCCTGAACAGAAAAGGACCGACACAGGAGCTGTATGCACGATCAAGGGAAGAAACTCCAAAGAAGATGGCAATAGATCCTAACTACAAGTATCGTAGAAAACACGGCCAGCTTCGAGATGGACTGAGACCATTGTCAGATTTTCTGGGACATTTACTTCATATTGACCAGGTAAGGAGGAAATTTAAGTCCCAGCATACTGCTTGTCGTAAAGACATTTTTATCAATTATATTAATGTTATCAATTATGATCAAAATCATGCCTACACATGGTTGCCTTTGTGAGAGAGATACAACTCAATACATTTTATAATAGTGAAAAGGATAAAAAAAAATGGAATGTTGATACAAGCCTTTGTGGGAAGTGATTTCCATAAATGGATGGAACAATGAATTACGCAGGTGAGTTAAGGCTAAATATAGGCATTTCTATGCAAATAATCTAATTAAAATGCCTAAGGACTATATTTATTATACAGAGAAAGTTAAAACTTATTGTCTAATACATACTTGATACCCACGACATGAGATAGCCAGTACACATTATGACGTCATATTATGACGTCATTGTCCTTTACTACACAAGATTATAAAGGGGATCAACAAAAATGCTCCGGCGCAAGGGCATGCTCTATTTTATTTAACTGAAACAAGGTATATTTAGAAGCAAAATATTCTAAATTTTGCTGGTATTGCTGCACAAATATCAACAGCTCAGTCGCATAATTTCTATTAGTAAAGTTTTAAGTTGAATAAGGGTAAAAATGTACAGTCCGGTATAAGTTTCCTCAAATTCCGATCAAATAAGAAAATGCCTGGGATTTGTGCAGCAGTTTTATTAATCTATAGAATATTCTTCTTAGCATTATACAATTTTTATGTAAAAATAAATAGGGTAATCCCTTGCGCCGAAGCTGTTTTGTTGATGTGATTAATACCTCCAGTAGGCAAGATCAGTGACGTCATAATATGACGTCATAATGTGTACTGGCTGTAACATATCGTGGGTACTAAGTATGCATAAGAAAATAAATCAAAACTTTCTCTAAATAATAAATATACCTCTTGTGCGTTTTTATTAGCTCATTTGCATAGAAAGGCCTATACCTAGCCTTAACTCACATGTGTATACTAAAATCAATCCTTGTTATCCTGAACTCGATGGGACCAAGAAAACACTTCAAGATATCTGATGATTCCAGATATCCAGAGTAAAATACTTAAACAAGAGGCCCATGAGCCACAATGCTCACCTGAGTAACTTTGGCCCTGCTGTTCTTCACCAGACTTTCCCCCATGTAATACACCTATTGTGGTCCTATCCTATCCCAGGGGTCATGATTTTAACAATTTATAATCTACACTACCCCAGGATACTTCCATATAAGTTTCAGCTTTTCAGCCAAGTGGTTCTTGAGAAGAAGATTTTTAAAGATTTTTTGTATATATTTCAATGTAAAAAGTGGATTCCCTATTGTGACCCCGCCCTACCCCCAGGGGTCCTTTAAAAAAAAAAATTTAGAATATACACTACCCCAGGATACTTTCACATAAGTTTCAGCTTTTCTGGCCCAATGGTTCTTGAGAAGAAGATTTTTAAAGATTTTTTTTCAATATATTTCAATGTAAAACTTGGATTCCCTATTGTGGCCCCACCCTACCCCCGGGGGTCATGTTTTTAACAATTTAGAATCTACACTACCCTTGGATGCTTCCACATAAGTTTCAGCCTTTCTGGTTCAGTGGTTCTTCAGAAGAAGATTTTTAAAGATTTTTTTCTGTATATTTCAATGTAAAACTTGGATTCCCTATTGTGGCCCCACCCTACCCCCAGGGGTCATGATTTTAACAATTTAGAATCTACACTACCCCAAGATGCTTCCACATTAGTTTCAGCTTTTCTGGTTCAGTGGTTCTGGAGAAGAAGATTTTTAAAGATTTTTTCTATATATTTCAATGTAAAAATTGGATTCCCTATTGTGGCCCCGCCTTACCCCTGGGGGTCATGATTTTAACAATTTAGAATCTACACTACCCCAAGATGCTTCCACATTAATTTCAGCTTTTCTGGCCCAGTGGTTCTTGAGAAGAAGATTTTTAAAGATTTTTTTCTGTATATTTCAATGTAAAAATTGGATTCCCTGTTGTGGCCCTGCCCTACCACCGGGGGTCATGATTTTAACAATTTAAAATCTACACTGCCCCAGGATGCTTCCACATAAGTTTCAGCTTTTCTGGCCCAGTGGTTCTAGAGAAGAAGATTTTTAAATGACCCCACCCTATTTTTGCCTTTTCTTGATTATCTCCCCTTGTAAGGGGATTTGGCCCTTCATTTTAACAATTTAACTTCCCCTTCACCCAAGGATGTTTTGTGCCAATTTTGGTTAAAATTGGCCAAGTGGTTCTTGAGAAGAAGTTGAAAATGTGAAAAGTTTACAGACGGACGGATAGACAGACGGACGGACGACGGACAATGGGTGATCAGAAAAGCTCACTTGAGCTTTCAGCTCAGGTGAGCTAAAAATAAGTGGTTGGGAATTCATAATCACTTCAACATATCCATGGTATTTGAGGTATCAGTGTTAGAGATATTTACATTTTAATAAAAATCAGCATTTTATTTCAATTTCTTTTTTGTATCAGAAATCATTATTCTTGTAGGATATTCCTCCAGATTTAATGGCAGAGGTGAAGGGCTTTATTGAGGATGTTAATCCCTGTCTCGTGCTTTGTTTGAAAAAACAGACAGAAAATGACCTTGAACTTTGTGAAATATGTACCTGCTTGATGGCCTTGACCACTCACTTTGGCAACTGTAACAGCGAAGTCTTGAGATGTAACCTTTGCACTCAACTTTTCCGACTCGTACAACAACATGTGCTTCTTTGTCGAGAAAATGACAGCAGTGCCACATGTCCTGTGCTTGTCTGTCGAAAAATTTCATTTTTGATTGATGAAAATCCACTATTGATCTTCACCAAAGAGGGCAAAATTTGGAGGAAATTGAAGAAGTATATGGGAGGGTACATTCAGAATAGAAAAGAGAAAACAGACACCAAAGTAGAGGATGTTGGAGATACATTATTCTCAATGACTAGCTTGACCAGTATAAATCCATTCGGCTTCCAGAGCTTAGGTACTCCAGTTAATCCTCCCACTGTGCAGAAAGTTCCGCGTCCTAGCACTCAGTACATGCCCTCACTGACAATAATTCCTGAGGACCAAGACAGGAGCCTGAATGTACCAGACAACCATGAGCCTCCCGCTCCCTCCAGAGTGTCCAGTTCTGAGCCCATTGTGAAGAAACGAGATGATGGAACCATTGAGTTTCTAAAACCAAGTTTTCGTCCTAAGATAAAACCAAGGAAACCTCTGCTCAAATTCGGATCCGCGGGGAAGCTACCAGTACATCCACCATCTCCCATGGTTACAGGGCCCCCACCTTCATTTACTATACCCAAAAATGAGCCACTCAGGTCCCCCACAGGGGGGAAACCGATCCGAAAAGTTTCCTTCAAAATGGAAAGGCAACTTTTTGGTAAATTTCGTGATGTAGAACCAGATGCCTTCCCAGAAGCCACCAGTTCTGTTCCGACGCCCGTGGAGAGTGAAGATACCTCGGAATCAGAGTCTCAGTCATCCATACCATCCGAACCGTCATCTCTGGAAAAAATATACGGCTTCCAGCTCAAGAGCATCCGAGAAGGAAGTCAGCGCTGGCATATGGAGGATCCTCAGTTTCTGTCTTTGAAAGAAAAACCTACTGGATTCCCTGGAATAGGTAACATTTTACAGTGTCAAGGGTCAAGACAGATAAATTTCATTTTCAGGAAAGATATTTGTTGTTTATTCAAGTGATTGTTACAAAAATTGTTTAGATAAATGAAGTGGCTGATTACAGAACCTATAAATGATTTGTTACGTGAGAAAAGGTACACATGTACATGTAGGTCCAGGGGAGGTGGTGTATGGATACATAGGAGGTGGTGTATGGATACAGAGATGTTTAACTTGACCTCATGACTTATTGTTGACATTATTATTACAGGGGAGGTGGTGTATGGATACAGAGATGTTTTACTTGACCTCATGACTTATTGTTGACATTGTTATTACAGGGGAGGTGGTGTATGGATACAGAGATGTTTTACTTGACCTCATGACTTATTGTTGACATTGTTATTACAGGGGAGGTGGTGTATGGATACAGAGATGTTTTACTTGACCTCATTAAATACTGGGAGGAGCTTAGATTGCAGTATAAAGAGTTTGGAAGACTGCTACAAAAGAGTGTCAAGGAGGAAGGAGTTATCTACCCTGACTGTAAAGTAAGAATAGGAGTTATTCATCTTGAAATGACATTTTTGTGTAAATTCACCTTGTTTGAAGAGAAATAAACATTTAAAGCACAGCAAGAAAATATGTTTATTTCACACATTTGAAACTTTAAGATGAAAAAAAACCCCACAAACACCATTTGACATTTTTATCATGGTATTTAAGTAATATTCCAATTGAAGGTGCCTGCCTCAACCCAATGTAAAACTTGCTTTTTAAGTGAAATGTTCCTTAGAGATTAAACTTTTTCAGATATCATTTTAATATTGAGATGACATTTTTTTTTACCAGAAAAAGCTGATGATCATGGGACACAGATACCAGAAAGATTTCCAGTGGGTTCGACTGACGCACCTTGGACGTGGAATGTTTGGGAACTGTCACCTGGCTAGCGATTACAATACCGACTACCAGTTCTGTATTAAAAAGGTCAGAGGCTAAATGTCAAGTGTGCAAATCAGTGTATTAATTGTTGTACATTGTAAAGCTTGAACCTTTAAGCATATTTTTTAACCTGTATTAAACTAGATAATCAAAGTAAATTTTTTTTACGAAGGTTGTCCGTAAAGTTCGTGGACAAACTGTACATTACAGCCTTGGTGTTTGTTTAGAGAGGAATAAGGCTTAATATCTTATTAATACTTTATTTGTACTGTCTATCAGTTTTCAAGAAAATCTAACTGTTTGAAAATATGATTATCAAGCTTTAAAAAGATTTGTTATATGTTCACCCAGCAGCGTCAAAATACGTCATAATATAATTGCAAGTTAGTATAAATAAAAATTCCTCAGATTCTCTCAACGTAATATCATTCAAGCAATACTATTTTGGTGTCATTTTGCCCATTTATAAAACATGTTGATTAACCAGTTTTCATTTCAAAAGCTTTTTCATATATGATGTAGTTTTAAATATCCCCCAGTTTTCTGAAACTTCATGCACCGTTAGAAATTTGTCAACATTGAAGACGTTGTGCACTTCGTGCAAACATCCTCCAATGCCTTAAGAACGTCCTTTCCTGTCACTTATCATCCTTCAAACTAAAAATGTGACTATCCAATAATAATAATTTATACCATTTAAATACAACTGAGCAGCTGACAATTAGTTTTTGATTCCTTTAGTTTTCTCTGTTCTTTTTTAATTAGAGTTCATACAAAACGTTAAAACTGCGCTCTGCTCCAAATGGTCAAAATTTCATGCATTTTTAGACAATCCACACGGACATAATTATGGATTCTTATATGACTTTCAGAGGCATATGTGAACGATAAAATTTTAACTCGATAGTCTGACTTAAGATTAGGCTTGTCTACTTCATAGTACAGTTTTTACGAGTTTTAGCGCAATGTCCATTGCAAAACAGAGAAAAGGATGTTAAAAAATTGACTTCGGTTATTGGGCAATTTTTCCATTACTCTGGGTCCCGATACCTCCTTATCAAAACCTTAAATATTACTTTTAATTATTAGAGTTTTTACTCAACAATGCAAATAAGAATAAAACCCTGTAAAAGGAAGGTAATAGGATATAGTTTTTAGGAAATTACAATTTTATTTGTAAAATTAGTGCCCTGTCCACGAACTGTACAGACAGCCTTTGCATTCTTTGACTGTAAGAAAATAATAAGACAGTATGAAAATCAATAGCAAACTTATAGATGTTATATACATGTACATGTACTCAGGGATTATATTGAAGGAATTAAAATTGAAATTGTGCAAATGAGGAAGGGATGAAAATATATTATTCAAAGACATTGATACTGCACTATACGCCAAAGGCATCACGGGCACTAAGTAAGTAAAGACGTTGGTAAAATTAAATAATTCTTAAATAATTGTTCACAGATCCACATCTCCAAGTACCGAGAGGACGAAATAAAGATCTGGTCTGACTTAGATCATCCTAACATTGTAAAGTTCCATGGAGCACTTCGACGAAAGGAGAAAATCTACATTATTTCTGAATTCATTCCTGGTATTTATATATTTAACATTTAGCCTTAAATCAGTTGTATGTGTATATACATGTATTTTCAAAGACTGTGTCAAATACTGAATATTGTTTTCATTTTGGATTATTCCCATGGAAATTTTTGCTTCTATGGTACCTTTCTGTTTGATGGGAATATATATTGACATCAATTTCAACAACATTTGAAAAATTTATGGTGTATTCTAAAGGATTTTCACACCGCACAATCAAGACAGTTGCACTTTTTTCTTCCAGTTAATGAGTATTAAACTGGCCAAGAAAATTTGATAAGTTTGATGAATTTCTTGATTTGCAGGAGGTAACCTCACTGAAGTCATAAACTCCCAGAGGACCTTGATGAGACGTCTGAGTCAGAGAAATGCTTTACGGCTTTTTAATCAGCTTTTAAAAGTCCTGATATACCTTGAAAAGAAGTCTGTTATTCATGAAGACATCAAATGTAAGGAAATTAATTTTAATTGATTATTTTTTTTTTAAATGTTATCTGTTTTATGAGGATTTGTAATTAAAGATGATTTAAAGCACAACTTCGGTTTAGAAGTGTATATTAATTGAAATCACAACAAATTTATTTGTTACCTAGTAACTTTCAAATTCAGAAGTACATTCTAAACAATATTTTTCAAATCTGTGTACAAGTATTTTTACTTTGTTCTTATTGTTCTGAATTTAATTTCCATTTATTCTTTGGTTCCAGCTGACAATATTCTCTTGAGAGAAGATGGCAAAGAAATAGTAGTGGCAGACTTTGGGGTCGCTAGGAGGCAGACTTCAAAAGTTTCCAATCTCGTAGGCACACCCTCCCACTTCAGTCCAGAGAAAGCAAAGTGCAGTGGGCATAATTTTAAATCTGACCTCTGGGCAGCCATGTGTGTCCTTGTTCATATTTTGAGTGGGCATCCCCCATGGGTGAAGCGGTATCCAAACGCAACAGCCATACATTTCCTGGTAAAGAATGCATTTTTTACCAGACATATGCATATATATATATATATATATATATATATATATATATATATATATATATATATATATATATATATATATATATATAGATATATATATATATATATATATATATATACGTACAAAATATTTAAATAAAATGCAGCAGAATTTAGAATTAAGGAAAAGGTATAGTCATTGACTTGGGATGGTGCCTTGGATCACCTGATTTTTTTCAGGACACCCTATTTTCACGCAATGTTATTTAAGCAAGACAACATTTTCACAAGTTCTGGTTATTGTTGTTTATAATCTTAAATAATAAAGATAAACACACAAATGATATTTTTTGGAGCAAACATCCTCGTATTTTTTGAAAAAGTTCCCGCAAATAAAAGGGATTTTACATTATAAACAGAGGGATCTATCATCATGTCATACCAATATTTTGTTGTGCATCACAATATCAAAATTTTACATTCATTCAATAATCATTTTCAATAGATATCATTCCTTGTTAAAGTATGTAGCTCACAGTCTAAGCCTGATATCTATATCAATTTTATTCTTTTTAATTAAGAGATATATTTGAAAGCTTTCTTTCTTTTAGAATTATTTTATTTGTGCACATACATGTATGTTTAAAGTTTTAAAAACCTTTCAGCACTCTGGAATTACTAGATTTTTTTCATACCTTTGAAACTATTTGTTAGCTATTTTAATATATATTTTTTTAATATATTTGGTTGAATTTAATTATCAGATCGCTACCAAGGAAGCACCCGTAGAAGACATTCCGAAGAACATACACCATGAGTTACAGGACCTGATAAAAAGTGGGCTAGAGAAACAACCCCAAAATCGACCATCTGCCAAAGAACTGCTGCAGCATCAGGCATTCCAACTTATAAGTAGGTTTAATTCTGATTGTAAGAAAATGTTAAGTTTATAAAAAAAAAAGGGATTCCTTTTAATATAATATCAGTTATTGTGATATTTCATTTGAAATATTGATAATTTTTCTCTGATAATTCTTATAAGTTTAATAGAAACTCATTTTACTAGTTTAGTAATGAAAAGTGTATGTATGTATACTGCAAATTTTAGAAAATCTGGTTGAAAATATTGCAGTGGATTTTATTACTAGCAGTAGACAATTTTTATTCAGATGAATACTCTTTTCTTTGTTTGGTTCATATATGTAGTGATAAGCTAATTAATATGTGATTATGAATAGAATGATGTATTAACTAGTGTATATATCCTCATCAAATAAAGGAGGTTTTAAGATTTTTGCTTCTTCATTATTTCTGTAGATGAAGGGGCAGACAATCTGTACTCAGTTCTCAATTCTGGGAGCTTGACTGATGATGACACGCGTCTGCCATCAAACACGCTGACGGGACCAACACGAGAGATACTAGAGGAAGTGGAAGAAAGCCTGAACAATCCTAATGAAATGTTTAAAGATCGCGTGGTCATTAGAGAAGATATTACAGATATTTTGGGCAAGACCAACAAAATGGAAGATACTGCTGCAGCCAAGGTGCAAAGTGAAAAAAAATTGAAAAATGAACTTCCTTCAGACAATGTAGACTTTAGATTTCCAGGGAGTATGATGGTCAGAGAGAAAGAAAACCCAAACATTTATTCCAAGCTGCAAGAGTTAGTCCTAGACGTTGGTTCAAAAGACTCAACAAGTGGCGGAAATCATTTTATTGAAAGCTTGAAGAAGTCCATCTCAGCCACTCCTGAGGAAATCTACAAAGAAAGCATGAAAGATCCTGAGGACTTGCTGATGCAATACCTTTATGATGACTTCAGTCATTTAACTCCCATAGACACGAACCTAACAGTTCTTCCTCTTTATTTGGCCGGGGAGGCAGACATGAACCACGAGAGCAGTACCAAAGAACCTCCAGAGGATGATAAACTAAATATTTCTGGAAGCTTTTATAACAATTTGCCAATTTTTTTGTTAAAGGATGATGAGCAAAAAGATGTGGATGATGATGAAGAATCCGAAATAGATAGGCTTCATGCAAGGGCCTTGAATGAGCAGCTTTCAAAAACAAGCAGCACCAGTGATCTTTTGGGAGTGGGATCCCAGAGTTCCCAAATCAATAGTGGTAGTCACGGGAGCAGTGAATTCAACCAGGACCACATCATCCAGACCCTAATGGAGGAGCCTGAAAATGCAATTGGGGCAGGGGGGAGCAGTTCAAGAAGTCGATCGGGGTCAACAAGGAGTGATGGGACCAGCAGGAAATCAAGTCATTCTTCTAGCTCAGCCATTAGTGAATCAGTGTTAAATCTTTTAAGTAAGCCTCCAGATGGTGTCAATGACAGCCACAACAACAGTAATGCAACAGTTGGAGGAAACCTTCCAAATTCCATCTTGTTTGACTTTGAGAGCTCTACTTCTAAATCCAAATCAAGTGAAAGGTACTATACCCCAAAGGAAAATATTTCAGGGGAAGATGAAGCGAAAGAGGAAGAAACAGGGACCAATGATTTGCCTCAGAAGACAAGAGATGAAGAGGGACAACAAATTCCTTCAGATTTGATAGAAGGAAATCAGGCTGCAGGAGACACAGTGACAAAATCAGCATCCAAAATGATACCCATTCCATTTGGAAGAGAAAGTACTGGAACTCCTCCATTAAGCACCATGTGGGAGGAATGGAGTAAGGATGCAGGTATTACAGAAGATGACCTTTTTGCTAGTGATGAGCCATCAAACGGCAAATCTGGGGACCTTACGAGCAAATCTGAAGGGTCCTTGAAAGGCAATTCCAGTTTAAATTTAAGTGGACAAGAGTTTAGTGGACCCCAAAGTGAATTAGTGGCTCAAGAACCAATAAGACCATTTAAAATAGCTAAGGACCCAGATGACCCCAGTAAGCAAGAAGTAGTCGTGGACCCGGATCCTAGTAAAGCTCTCCCCACTCCTGTCAATTTCAAGAGAGAAACTCCCAAGCTGAATCTGCAGATTCAAAATCCATCAAAACCAAGAGACAGTTCAAAGCGACTCTCCAACCCAGATATGAAAATGCCTTACAGTCCACTGACTCCCCAGAAGTATTACACTCCACAAATAACTCAGAGAAAGCCCCCTTTTTCACTTACAACTCCAACATCCGGGTACTATACCTCAACCCCAGACAGCATCCTTAGAGGGGCCTTCCCTTCCCCACGGTCAGCTTCTCCCAGAAGCCAAAAGGAACAAGATGAAGAATATGGTAAGATGAGTTGATATTTATGAGATTGTAATTGTAGTAGAAATTCAACAAAGAAGTGCTTTTGTAAGCAGTATCTCACACTGTAATTTGTGTTTTGTCTGGTATCATTCTTTTTGTGTCTCTTCGCACTTAGATCATGCTACTGGTAAATTGATGAATGTACTAATAAGGAGATTCGGGACATTTTAATTCTTTATATGAAATATGCTTTATTTTAACAGAGAAGCTGGTCAGAGATTTGTCAGTTCACAGTGGGGAACCTTTACATGAATTGGTGAGTGATTAATGTACCTAATACTGTACAGTAAAAACTGTATAATCTGACACCTATGCAATCTGTTTCACTATCTATTGCAACCTCATTTTTTTTTCATTTCCACCTTACTAATCTCCATATTGTTTACACTGTGCAATTTGACACCCTGTCTATTCTGACACAAAATTTGTCTCTCAGTGCCTGTCGGATCAGACAGCTTTTCCCTGTATCTGACAGTGATTAGCACTATATGCTCTTGGTATCAAGAGGGTACATTTCAGTATTGTACTGAATATCCTGAAAATGTTCACACCTGTTTTAAAGATGAACTTTGGTATCTTGAACACATATCTTAAATACCTTGCATATGTAATGTCAGCAGGGATTATTGCAAATTTTAGCACCTTTAGTTTACCATCAGAAGAATTGCTGCTTGTACTAGAGTGTCAAGGAGCAAAATGGAAATGACTCTTAACTAGGTCCAAGAAAAATAAGGAGTTGAATACAGAAAAAATTGGTTATTATATTGAGAATAATATATGGCAAAATCTGTATCACACCCATATACAGTCAAACATCATTATCTCAAACTCGAAGGGACCAAGAAAATACTTTGAGATAACCGAGGATTTGAGATATCCAGGGTAAAGTACTAAAAGAATAAGCAGCTGAGACTTCAAAATGACTTCGACATATCCATGGTATTCGAGATATCTGTGTTCCAGATACTGAAGTTCAACTGTATATCAACCCAAGACTCCAATATCAGCCTGAGAGCCATAGGCCAAATTCATAGTTCTAAATTTCATGAAGAACATTTTCAAGCCCACCAAGATTGTCATTGATCCTTTGTTTTCCCCTCTGGAATGTAGCTCAGTAGATCTGACACACCTTTTTGTAGGTTGATAGATGTAGTACTTGTTTAGTAAGGTAATATTTTATGGCCAGAATGCTGCTGTACCTGACTTGGCGGAATCTCTGTGTGTATAAGTATTGTAATAGCGTTTCTCCTTGCACTGTGATTTACCTTTCAGCTTTGTATACAAGCTTTCATCTGTGAGTGTTTTTCGTACTGTATTGGGTTCTGCATATTCATGATAAAGTTCTCTGTTGAATTTTCTGATTTTATGTTCATATAGTTCCCAAATTTTCCTCGTTAATGATTCTAACACTCTGTCCCCCATTTCTATCTCTTTTGGTGATCATTTTTCCATTGTTTACTTAAACAATAAAATGCTTTCTTTGGTTGTTAGTACAGGAATTAATGTTGCAGCTGTTGCAGAAAAAATGCATTACCCGCTTACGTGGGTTATGTAATTTTTTCAGCAATAGCTGCAATGTTAATTCCTGTACTAACAAACAAAGAAAAACAATTTTTTGCTTATATTTATATCTGCGCAAATAATCATTTAAAGTAGGATTTAGTAGATGAAATAGTGTGTTATTGATATGTACATCATTGTCTGTTTCATTGATGGAACAGCCACTGCTCCAGAAATCTATAGAGGTGATATGCTTAGTGGTGTTTACAGACTGATAAATGGCAATGGTTTTCTTAAGAAATAAAGGAGATAATATTCAGTTGATATAAATATTTAACTATCGTCTACTCCCAAGTAGAATAAATCCGAAGCACTCCAAATGAAAAATACAAAGATGTTCAGGAAAGGTTTGATACATGGTGTGATAAAGGATGAAATAATGGGTGATAAATAAATACAGAGTGTGTATTAAAGGCCATGTGCCTGTGTTCATATCAGGGATGCAAAAATCCTGTATTATTTTACAAACATATAGTAAAATGAACTCATGCTTACAGCGAAGTGATTTTCATTCCTAGTAGTTTAAAAAAAAATATCTTGAACTTAATGGTTATAATGAATTATGCTTATAATTAATCACAATTTTTTACCCCTTGCACTTGCTATATACATGTACTTTGTATATAAGCTTGGTTACACTGCCGATCAGTATGCCTTGAATACTTTAAGATAAATTTAGCCATGTTCTATTCTAGGACGAACCAACATATAATAGGACGGAGCTACAATCATCTTTGACCGAGGAAGAGGAGTTCGAGTACAGCCTTAAGTTTGTCATTGATAATTATGTCACCGCAGAGACAAATGGTAAGCACTGAATTAAATATCAGCTTTGCATTCTTACTTCTGTTTATCATGTGAAAATTTAAATATATATACATGTATATATATTGTACGTACTACAAATACATGTACTGGTACATATACATAAGTAAATACTACTGTGTCTCTAAAAAATTGTCATATATTGATTTGTTTTGGTCTGTTTAATATTGTGGGTAATATTTGATTTCTTATATGCAATTTCATAAGGAGGGGGTGGGGGAAGGGGGGTTATACTTGATTATTGGTATTTATTCTCAGAGATTAAAGTGATGGTCACATCTAATTTGTTACAAGACTTTGTTTTTTGGATTATTTCAGATAAAAGCATCAAAGTGGAAATTCTGAAGTTGGACGGAGAACCGTTTACAACAAAGTTGTCATATGAGTACAGTACCCGGTCGTGGAAAAATTTTGTAGAGGAAAACTTTTCAAGGGTATTTGTGATTTTTTTTTTCTAATAAACGAGCCTGTTTGTCTAAATGCCTGTGTGTCATTTGTGAATTGTGTGCTGTTTGTGATCTTGATTACATTTTCACATTTTCTCTCAAAACCACAGAGTCAGTTTCAATTATACTTGTAATAAGGTAAATGTGGATGCATGTAGAAATTCATTTTTTTTTTTTCAAATGAAGTACTTTGATCATTTTCTTGTGGTGGTGGTGATGGGGAGGGGGGAGGGGGTCTGGCTAATAAAGCTTTTAAAGTTCCTTCTTTAGGACCAATGAACCAAAAAAGACAAACCATACATAAAATATTTCTTAAAGTAGTATACATTTAACTTGATTAAATTAGTACATATACATGTTCCACTGATTGGGGCTAGGATTAGGTCTCAGCAGTTCACCAAAGTTTTACAAAGAAACTAAAATATATTTGTTGTAAGAATCATAACAGATCTTTATTGGACAGCTTGTAATACATGTAGTTATGAGTAAAAAAATAAAACCTTAAAAATATGCATGTAGTTGAATACAATGTAATAAGAGTGGACAAGGTGGGTACAATCCCCAAGCTGGTCTAAGAAATATAATTTTCAAAATTCATATAAGAATTATATTTGTTAAAAGATTTTAAACTTCATGAATAATTCAATTTATTAAACTTTTTTCTTTAAAGTATTTAAATTTTATTGCTTAATCAAAAAAAATTCTGTGTGAAAAAAGAGACTCATGAGGGATCAGATCTCTTGACAGATTACATTAAATGTGATATTGTAAACATCGTAATCACTGCGCTACGCAGTTAATTTGAGTACAAAAAATTAAGAAATTAAGATTGTAGAATTTTCTTGGTCACATAATTTTTCTTAGAAAAGTTCAACTTTTATACTGAATGGGTTCAGATCCCTTTTTAAAAAAAAAAAAAAAAAAAAAAAGCATAACGTATATTTTTCTATTAATTTTCTTTCATTTAAAATGGAGACTTGACCCATTCATATTTAAAAATCATTATTTATGGTTACATGTATAATTGACCCATTTTCCTCTGAAAATGCATGCCATAGCTGTCAACTTAAAAAGAAAATGAAAAAAATTCAATTGATAAGCAATTAAATAAATTAAAAGAATTAAATATACATTACATTACTAAAAACACATTTTTGGAAAGATAAAACTGAGAAATATATTATATAATTGCCTCAGAGTGGGGGATTGGCCTCCTGGTGTTTGCCCGGATTCCTTGCTTAAATCATACATTTTTGTAGTAAGGGTTGTCTTACTTTTCCATTATTTTGTAAATGGGTTTTTTTTCCCCATACAAACATTTTACTTGATAAATTTTTACTTGTTGAAAACATTTTTCTCAGCTCATTGGAGTGTGAATAATTTCAATAAGTGACTAATGTGAAAGAAAATCAAATGTAAATTTTATTATTTAGTTTTTATTATATTTTTGGCAATTGGCCTCAATTTTTTTTTCTTCCATTTAAAAATTAAACATTGAACATTTGTTGTTGTTTCAGATAAAGACAAGTGGAGTTGAAATGCTAACTCTGTGTTTTATGGATAACAGAGTGCTGGATCTACAGGAGAAACCTATAGATTGTCACCAGGACTACAGGGTGTCCCTAAAAGTGGTGGAAGTAACTGAACACGGTCGTGACAACTTAGCCTGGTACTGTCAGAATGGAATCTGCAGAAGTGGAGGAGGAATCCCCGTCTAAATATAGACTAGAAATTCCTGTCTGAAAATAGATGAAATACCTGACTAAAAAATAGATTTGAATTTGATGTAAAAATCAATTTTAATGATTTTTTTTCTATCTGTTTTATTGTTTAGTGATAAAAATCTTCCCAAAGAAAAAAGATCATTACTGGTTATGGGCCCAATATACATTTAATATCCTTTTTGTATCAATTGTTTTTAGCTCTACTGGACCATATGCATTAGGAAGGTCTTTCATCTGTCTGTCTTCCCATCTGTAAACAATTTTATAGAACTTTACTCCTAGAGCTACAGTCTTGTCAGAGACTTCTGGTCCTGAATTATTATTTTCTACTAGGATATATTAATGCAGTCATTTTGTAAGGATAGATTTGACGTTGAACTACTTGTCCTTGCTGATTTGTTGTGTTTCTAATGAAATCATTCAGAATGATTGGATTGATGTAAAGAAAAACACCATTACTGCTAACTATTCCCTTTAGCTTTAAATGATATATAACAAATGTAGAATTGTTTGTCCCTGGCACTTTACTAAAAGCATGTTTGAATGTATTCATTATGTACTTTACATTCATGTATAATTCAGTATTTTCTATGTGTGTTTACAAAGTTTTTGGTCAACTTTTTTGTGACTTGCTTTATATTTTCAACTAAAAATAGAATTTCATATGTCATAGTGATATTCATACATACATACAGTCAAGACTCATTAATCAAAATGCTTGTCTTCCATAGTAATCACTCTAATTAATTAGACATCCATAATGCTGAGATATTCGTTATATAATTGGTAGATATAAATGTAAACAAAGTCATCCAGATAATTGGTGTCCTGATAAATGAGGTTTGACTGTATGTACATTTATAATTATGGACAACCAGTGGTTCAAAAGAAATTTGCCAGATTTGACTGTAAGACAACAACATTTTAAACAATTAAATTTACTGAAAAGGAGTTGAAGTTTAGATCATTTTAGGCAAGATTTTGGAATACACAACATCTGGATAAGACAAGTTTCAGTTTGTGTGTATATATATATGAGCAATAAATTGAATAGGTTTATAATGTTACGTTACATGTACAGTGCATATTGGTCAACTGTTGTAGATTCTTTTCTTCACAAAATAGCCAATGTGGCTAACTCATAACTAAAGAGTTTGAATTTTTTTTAAATGATTTAAAAAAAAAAATGTGGCTAAATGGTTAATACCAAAACAAATTCTGCTTTATTATTTTCTTGCCTTATGTGACTATGCACTTTAAAATCATATATTTGTGCCATATTTCAGTTTTTTTTTAATTTGGTTTTTATTTCTTTAAGAAAGAAAAATTGGTTTTTGATTTAAGATATTTAAGTTCACTTTGAATGTTGTATTTTGAAGAGTTTTATATCTGAAGAGGTCAAATTTTGCTGGCATGAGAAATATTTCGATGTTTCGTGACTTCTCTAGTCTTTGGATACACAATGTTTTATGAAGGAGACTTTTGTATATATCTGGGAGTAATTTCATTTCAATTATTAAGTATTCTCAGAAAAAAAAATTGACTTGGCTAATATTGTTAAGCTATGACAAATAACTGTGAAAATGTGTTATGTTTTATATGAAAGGATGGTCTGTCTCTCAGAATGCAGCAGTATGCAATTTACCTTCATTTCCAAATAGACTAGAGATTCTCATATACTGTAAACGAACTTTTATTAATGTGCCTGAAATACCCCCAAGTTCTGCGACCTTTTACTTGCGATTGGAACTTCCTGGATTGATTTCAAACTGACAGATCGCGAATAAAAAGCGCCTCAAATAATAGTTGGTTTGTAGTACCATTAAAATTTGACCTACTTTGAAACACATGCATAATATAAATAATACATATACAATAATAAAGATTAGATTTAATATCTTACAACTGTTGTTTATGTATTTTTTGTCCTGATATTTTGTTTTCATTGTCAAGTGCTAAGTTGACGTTTTGTCATGTTTGTCTTTACTGTCGGATTGCTTTAATATTTTATAATTGTATTGGTTTTCATATTTATATTATATCACTTTCTTTACAGTCAAATAAAATTTATTGTATAGTTTAAAGTTTTTGTTTTTCTCCATTTCTATAATTTGTTAGAAAGGTTAATTAAGAAATGCTTCTACGAGTATTGACATCGGAATATAATAATGAAACATGATTCAAACAGCAATGATCTTCATATGAACGATAGAAGACCTACAATTAGCTGAATTAGTCATATAGAACTAAATTATATAAACCTCATGTGATGAAATTTGTTCATAATTCCATTATGACATAAAAACCCTGACAGAGACATTTTGGAATGCTCTTCGGTCCAGCAAGTTGCTTTGAATTTTTTAAAAAAAAAAAAAAAAAAAAAAAAAAAAAAGATCTCGTTTTAAAGTAGATCTTCAATAAGGCTACTTTTCTCCACTATGAAAAATCGATGTATGTCTTGGGTCTTCAGTATTGTAATTTTTTTTTCTTTCTTTTACCATTTGACAGACAAATTTATAAAGGGTTTCTCTAAATGCGCTTTGAAGAGTTTTTACAATTTGACTTTTATGCCAGGGAAAAGGTATTCAGCAATCACAGTGTCTACTGAGGGAGGTAAAAACAAAAGCATTCGGAATCTCTGGAGTCGCTACGAAAATCAATTTCATTTCAAACATCACGACCACAATGAGTAATAGAGGTAATGTAATAGAAAATGTTAAGTTTTCAAATTAATGTCATATTCATTCAAGTCACATTGTGTACAAATTCTTGAAAATATGAAAAGTAATCATATTACCTTGATTATGTTTTATACATTATTTTGATTTTAATTCCTGTATCCGCTAGCTGTATCTTAATGATTCGAAATCTTATTGTGAAAATGTAAATGTCAAAATCTCACTAAAGGCCGCGGACTTATTGTTAAAGATCCACGGTTGTTGGGTGAAAAGACGCGGTAATAGAAATTGAACAGCATTATTTCCAATAATTAATTTAAAAATATGCAGATTTTAGACATTCCATGTATAAGAATTTTGAAAAGGTTCTTCCGATTGACAACTTTGCAAACACCATATATCTGCCAACCAGAAGACATGTCGATATATATATATATTTTGGACAATAATATCTGTTGATTATACACGCGATTTGAAATCTTAAAATTGAATGCAGATTACATTTTTAAGTGAAACTAAAAACTGACAGATACCATAAGGATGGAAATACGCAGTTATTTTTGTTAATTTAACGTAGACATATGTTTATAGGAACGAGTTGTCAGTCCCTCATTCAGTTAATTCTGCAATTCAATTTTTTTGACGAAAATGAAATCTATTTCCAAATGTATGATACTTCTTCTATACCAAATTTTTCCCGTCGTTTTATCTCATGTCTTCGTCAGGAAGATAGGCCTTTCCCTCGTTCAGTCAGGGGAAATGTCTTCTACGTCGTGCATTTTGGAGGAATTTCCGTTTTTAATAAACACCTCGGCATCCCCACGAATAAAATGTGGGGTTGAGTGTAGTGCGAACCCACGGTGTGTTGGAATGGAGATCGCTGGAACGACGAAAAAGGTCTGCAGAATTCTGTCAGGGTTTTCTGCCTTGATTCCACCTCGATCGTCCACTGGAATAATTTCTCGGTATCAAAAGGTAAAAAAAAAAATCTTAAATCAAAGTTATAAACATGAAATAAATTTTAAAAAATTGATTCTTTATATTGTTACAATATCCTTCTAGAATAGCTTTTTAAAAAAAAAATTGTTGGTGTCGAATCATGATTTTGTTTTCAATCTATTTCATGCATGAATATTTGTATATTTCAGTTAGGAGGGAATGCGATGGGTAAGAATTTTATAATGATTATTATCAAAAAATATTTTATAGATTTTGTTAATAAGGTCATTGGTAAAATTTTATAAATCTATTAAGGATATCCAATCCTCAGCCAGGAAGGATGACTCTTAAATTTATTATTTTATTTAAAAAGTCTCAAAATGAAGCTTGAAATTGAGGTCTTTTCGTGCAACAATTTTCATTTTATGCATCTTCATATGATTCAAGGTTCTTTGAAGTCTTAGAAACGGTCTTGTAAAAAGTTGACATTTGTACCCAACAAAAGAAAAAAATGAATTCATTTTTAGAGAAATTGAATTTCCTTTAGTCTAGCATTAGTTACGACTGCTTATTAGCATGGTATGAAATTAGATGTGATATGTGATGTCTACCAATGATAGCACAAGCTTTTTACACTAGGTATTATACCACAATTGAAGTAAAAAGAGGAACCAAAGTACTGTATAAGCATAAAAAAGATGCAATTTTCTTCGAATACCTGGATACCTAAATTTTTCTATCCTAAATTATATTTGCTGATCAATTTTCAATTAGAAAATGCATAGCTAGTGTTTTTATTCGCATTTCCTGAAAATATATTTGAGATTTGATAATTTTCCGTATATAATATGATTAACTATAATGATGAACTTTGAAGAAATTTCATGGGTAAATTAACGTTATTATGTGAAATCAGAGACATTTTTGTGAGCATTTTCAATTACTGAAAAGCTGATTTTCAGAACCTGAGGATCGGACTACCTTAAATGAAAAACCAAAAAATGTTGAAAATTGCTAAATCTGTATGTGCCATATGCATATAGATGCAATATTAGGATTGAATGTCTACAAAGTTACATGTAATTAACGTGTTTATATGTACATCAACATGAAACCTGAATATAACCATTATATTAATGTTTTAAATTATTAATTCACAGAATTTAATACGAGCTATAGTTAAGGAGAACCTGTCATCTTTTGATGGACGATAGTTATAAAATATTGTTTTTCAGTTGTAATTCTATCATTATGTAAATTGGATTATGTATGTAAATTGAAAGAATTTCAATTGCATCTATCGTTATATATCAACTAGAATATTTTTTAATCGATATTTGTCAATTCACTATTTTTTCATATTTAAATGAATTATAATATTTTGTATTTTATATTTATGTTAATTTGAATATTTTCTCTATTTCATATTTATTTTAAATTGAATATTTTTTTATTTCATATGTGTGTTAATTGGAATATTTTCCATTTCATATATGTGTGTTAATTGGGATATTTTTTATTCCATAGGTATGTTAATTAGAATATTTTCTCATATTATTTTTAAGGCAAAGGCTACCTCTACACAGTACCTTTGTTAATCAGAATATTGTCTCATATACTGTCTTATGAATAATCTTTCAGGCAAAGACTTTTTTTGCACCGTTCCGTTAACGAATGTTCAAAATGTATCCACAATGTGCCACAAAGATACCTACACTTGGGTGGTAAGATTATTGTTTTTGTTTCGTTTTTGTTTTGTTTTTTTTTGTTTGTTTGTTTGTTTGTTTTTTGTTTTTTGTTTTTTTTTTTTTTTTTGTTTTTGTTTTTTTTTTTTTACATGTATTTGCATTAAATGAGGAAAGCAATCGTCAAACATACAACAAATTTCATAGAATTATTTTTGCTTACCCGTTTATTTTTCTTATGTTCACTGCGGCTTTATATTCGCCTTCACTACTCTCTCTCTCTCTCTTTTACACGACTTGCGATATTGATTTGAAAAATTACTTAAATTGTTTTATTTTATTTATTTATAAACTTACACACTAAGTCCAATAAATTTTTTGCATTTTGTCATCAATAGTTTATTCAGAGGAGGTTTGACGGGTCAGTCAACTTTAGTAGAAGCTGGAATGAGTATGAAAGTGGATTTGGTTTCATAGACTCGGAATTTTGGCTAGGTGAGTAAACTTACAGGATAGCATATGAGCAGATGTTTTATTTTACTGTATTTGAATAAGACAAAAGTCAACTAATTAATAGAACTTGTATTCACGAGAAGGTAGATTAATACATTGACAAAATCAGGAATTAAAAGAAAGCAAATGGTAAGACCCTAGCTGAAATATATCCCTATAAAATACGTACAAATAGTTATCTAACATAGTGCAAAGTTAAAATAAAAAAAAGGGTTAAGTTGAGAAAATTGAAGAGTTTGTCTGTGTTAAAACAGTATTTTTGATTGGTTGATTGTCCTTTGCAAAGCCATTTCATTTATATGAGAATTCACTGTCACCAGTGAAGGACTACTTTAGACCTTTACTCGGCACTCGGGGTCAGTGAGCAGTGAGGGCAATCGCAACTTCTCGGGCCTTTCCGACTAGCGGAAAAACAACCTCGAATGTATTACGTAGACGCCATGACAACCCCCCTTTTAACAAACTTTGAACTAAATCTGAGAAGACCTCTTATCTGTGGAGTATAAAGTTAAACTTTATTGAATGTAAAGATATTAGCTAAAATACACTATAGAAGGGACTTTAAACTCCGTCTATCCTATAGTTTAACAAATAGGAAGTTGTATAATTTTTTAACATCCGGTGATGTTAATACCGGATCTTTAGCGTGTCAACGCTTGCCATGACACGGGTCCTCGGTTTTTAAGGTGTATAATATAATGATCTGCTTACATATATATAATATTTATAGCTATATATAACCTAAAGATGGTCTTTATGTCTCCCAGTTAACTCGATAGACAAGAACTTGTACCTACTAAAAATTTCTAAATCGAGGAAGCTACCGACAAATACCGTAAAATCACATATTTTCGTGGGGTTCAATTTTCGTGGTTTTAAGAAAAAAATACTGGTTCGTAGGGACTTGATTTCTGAATTGCAAATTTTCTAATGTTGTCTACGGAATAGAATGTACCCCCATTATGGCTCATTTATGTTAGTGAAACCAAGGGTTCACTTAATAAAAGAATATCGGGGCATAGATTTCAAATTAACATTGGGGCCCAGCAGCTTCTATATAAGCACTTTAATTTACCTAATCATTCTATTTTGTCAATGAAAGTTATAATTTTAGAAAAGATTTACCATCATACTAATAGCCCATCACTGAGTACACCTTTCGATAGACAACGAGAAGAATACTGGATCAGAGAACTAGGCACGGCCTTTCCATAAGGTAGCAATGACAATGTCGATAGTGTTGGAAATCTTTCAAGCCCACAGTGTAGCAATGAGAATTTGATGGGACTTTTTAACAGTACACAGACGTAAGCGTAGTCATGGACATCGGTCATACAATAAACCTATTGTACACAATATCCTATGATTTACTACGATCTTATATAAATAAACAGTTAGGCCTTCATGACATTCGCATCAAACTTTACACTGTCCCTTTGAAAATTTTGAATAGTCTGTTTGTAAAAATCAAGGAAAGTCCATATTTGGATTCTTCGACACCAGAAAACAGGCTCGGATCTGTGATAATAGATATTGCAAATCATAGGTTCTTTAAACTGCCACGTTTCGCGGAAGATTCATTGATTGATTGATTGAATTTTGTTCCTGTTCTAGAATTTTTCACTCATTTATAGACGTCACCATATACCGGCGAAGGGCTTCAAATTTAGACCTTTACCCGGCACTTAGGGCCATTAAGCAGTGAGGGATCTTGATGGTGCCAATGTCTGCCGTGACACGGGGCCTCGTTTTTAAGGTCTCATCCAAAGGACCCGCAACTTTCATTTCAAAGTGCCGAGCGTTTGGCGAAAAAATAGTTGCTACCTATTTTTATCGACTTAGGTCAGTCGCGGCCATGATTTGAACACACGACCTTCAGATCACGGAGCGATCGCTCTACCGACTAAGCTACCGTGATGGTTCAGCGTTTTACGGAAGAAATTACCGCTCAAACAACCTGTTTGTACCTTAAACTTCAATATACCAACAACAGAATTGACGCAATTAAAACAAGCAATATTCTTAATCACAAAAAGGTCCAGTCTTGTACTCAACCATAGTTGGCCCACACCTTGTATTTCTTTCAAATATTCATCGACAATTGCTTCCAAACTTTTTAATTATAAAAAAAACTCTACAGTGCCTAGATATCGAGCATCTGTGAGACACAATCCTACAGCATGTTCATGTTCTTCTTCACCCTACAACTATAGTCCTGCTGGACAAGTCATTACTGGTGACGTAAAGATAGTAAATAATGAGGATCTTAAATCACTTATTATAAGAGGACCAAAGTTTAGGGAGCCCCGATCCTTCAACTGACTTCAAAATTTCATAAATATTGTGAATTCAGTAGAAGATTACGCCAGACAATGGGCTAAATAGGAAAAAGAAGACCTTGACACTTTGTCAGAATGGATTAAATGTATCAGATGGATGTTGAAATCGCGCATTAAGCGATTGAGGGGCCATATGAAAACCATATATCCTTCTGTCTTCGACAATGCAGAAATGAAACAAAAATAAGATAGGTTTACACGATCAGTATGTACTGGAACAGTTAACAACATTGTCTTTGTTTGTAAGGCTCATTATTTGAGTTGTATTTTAGAGGAACTAGGATTTAATTCTGGAAGTGGTTATCCAACTTATACCCATAGCTCCCTTTCTAAGGAGGAAATTCTTCAAAACTATGTCAGTTTTAAATATTTTTAATATTCCCAACAATCAAAATGAATTTAAATAACCATACCTATACTGGATCTCAAAATTCCATAAAAATCCACACAAAGATTTATAACAGGTTCCAGTAAATGTTCTACCAAGCCTCTTTCTTTACTCCTCACTAAAATATTTACAGCAGTATAGGAAAAACTTCATGAGTACTGTACAACAGTATATTTGAAAGTGATATAAACCAGATGTGGATACTTAAAAACTCCAAGGAACTTTTAGAAAATTTGAAATCACGAAATTTTAGCTAAATCGATAACATTAAAACTTACGACTTTTCAACACTTTATACAACCATTCCCCACAATAAATTAAAGTCCAGGCTTTTTGGCATCATAGATAGCTGCTTTTTCAATAAAAATAGAATTCGTAATTATAGTTATCTTGTAACTGGTTATTTGCAAAACTATTTTATTTAAAAAAAGCATTCTGACTGTACACACAAGTACTCTGAAATATTTAAAAGATGTTTGCTTAAATTTCTGATTGACAATATCTTTGTAGCTTTTGGAGATCAGGTCTTTCAACAATCTGTTGGAATTCCCATGGGTACCAATTGAGCCACCTTGTTAACAGACCTATTTTTGTATTCATATTAAGCAGAATTTATTCAAAAATTTCTACATGAGAAGACGAGAACACTTACTGTGACCTTCAACTCGACATTTAGATATATAGACGACGTATTATCAATTAACAATATATAGTTACTTCCATTCATTTGTCGACTCGGTATATCCCAGTGAGCTTCCAATGAAGGATACCACATAGTCTGACATATCTGTTTCATATTTGGATATTTTACTAGAAAAAGACTTTAATGGTAACCTAACAATAAAGCTTTATGATAAACGTGATGACTTCAAATATTTCAATCGTCAAATTCCCTTACTTATGCAGCAGTATATACTTATCACCTGCATATGGAGTTTTTGTCTCCCAGTTGATTCGATACGCAAGAGCATGCTCTACGTATAAACAATTTCTAAAACGAAACAAGCTATTGACAAACAAGTTGATGAAACAAGAATACCAACAGTCTCGTTTGAAGTCAGCATTTTGCAAGTTTTATGGCCAGTACAATGAACTTGTCAGCAAATACAGCCTATCATTAAGTCAAATGCTGACTGACGTTTTTCATACTAATTGTTAAGCCATCATTTACACACTGAATTGTCTACGGATTTTTCTGTTTCTCCCGATCATGAAAAGGAGCACACAGCGGGTGTGACCGGTCGGCATGGGATGGTCACTCCTCCATGGCACCTGATCCCACTTCTGATGTTTTTGGAGGCCAGTTGTTGCACTGCTCCCTATTTGTATTGTTTGGACTTTTGAGCTTGAATGCTGTCTATTATCTCCATCTTTCACGAAGAACTGTTGAGTAGTTGTACCTATGAAATTTTACATTTCGTGGTAGACATGAATTCGTGGGTCTCTTCATACCTTGAAATCAGCGAAAATATACCCCCACGAAAATTAGTGATTTCACAGTAAGTTGATGATAAAAGGGCATAGACGACCCCAAGTTTAAAGTCAACATTTCACAAAGTTTTTGATCGAAACAGTAACCTTTTTTTCAAACACAACCTGTCGTTAATTCGACTGTTGACTAACGTTTTTCCCCAAAATAAATTGTTGGGCCATTCTTTCCATACTGAATTGTCTACTGATTATCCTGTTGACTCGATAAAGACACAGAGCTCACAGCGGGTTTGGAAGGTGGACAGGGGATACTACCACCTACATAGCATAGATTCAAATAGGGCAAACATTATGGTATAATGTAGTTCACCAAAACCCCGAAAGAAATAAACATAAGACATCATTTTATTTCATGTTTTAGGCAATTCTCGTATTCATGAGTTAACCAATGAGGGGTATAATTATCTAAGAATAGAAATAATGGACCACGACTGTATTTGGAAATATGCAGAATATGCAAACTTCAAAATAGAAGGCAGTGTAGGGAAATATAGACTACACACTTCTGGATATTCTGGAAATGCAGGTATGATCTATCTTTTTCTCTCACCATAAGAAAGTTTTCGTCTTAAAAGCTTTCCCGGTAGGTTAACTATATAGAGAGCCTCCTTTGAAAAGTTTTATATAAGAATGTACAGGACTTATCCTTGAGAATCTGAGAATCTAAAGATTCTTAAGAAAATATTGAAGAGAAGAGCTAAAAGAGAATGCTAAAAAAATTGTAATAATTAAAAAAAATTCAAGTAATGAATAATTAAAAGAAAAAAAAAATTTCAAACATTCGACACTTTGGAGAGAATTGAAAAATGGAAGTACAAAGTTTTATGCGGAAATGTATCGGACAAAATTTTTAAATTTTTTTTTCAAGAACTATAAAGGCTATACATTCTCTGGAAATATTATAGATCTCAACTTGACGCAGTCGAAACAAAACTGACGTTATTTTTTTTTTTTTAAAAAAGGCCGCTTCTCTAATTTCAAAGAGAAAATATTATGGGAAGTGGTTTCCGTAATAAATGATTTCTAATATCGACAGCCATATTGCCGGCAATTAATTCTCATCTACTGGACATAGAAATTTAGCCGGCAGTCAGGTGTTGAGTTTAAAACCAATGAATATGCGACATTTCAATCAGAAGGAAAGTACATGTAATATATCATATTTTTAATGAAATTATTAATTCAAAAGTATTCATGAAAGCAAGGCTTTAAATTATCAAATTATGACAGAAAAAAAAAATCTTGCTATCAGTGGCTATTCAATTAAGTAAATTTTAGTCATTGTTACCGGGGGCATACTGAAGGCATTCAAGATTTGCAAAGAAGAAAGATGGAGAAAAAGTAGAAAATATGACTGAAAGAACTAGTGACAACCAGCTAACCGATATGGCCCTATGACCCATAAGCCTCTTCTTAAATTTGTAAAAATTCTGTGTTATCTACAGAGATGAAGTTATTTTAATTTTGCAGGCAATAGTCTTGAATATCATGACGGAATGGACTTTAGTACGTATGATAAGGATAATGATCTTTGGCAGTATAACTGTGGACTGGCAAGAAGAGGTGGGTGGTGGTACCGTTCTTGTCATAAATCAAACCTGAATGGAGAGTACGGAAACACGGATTATTCCAATGGAATCAACTGGTACTGCTGGAAGGGATTCTACTACTCTATGAAGGAAGTGAGAATGATGCTGCGGAAACCTTGAGAAACAGAATATAGTTTATTAACTCTTTAAAGTTATATTTTTGAAGCCTTGATTTTTTTTTTTTTAAGAATTGACGAGGCGAATACTTTCTATTTACATATCTCGGTGTTGTTTTGAGATGTATCCACAGTATTTGTATTTTTAAATACTTTTCACATTTGAAGAAACAGTTTTGTCTCTTTCTAGAAACCAACTGAGTTAAAGAGGAATAGATTATCAGTAAATGATAATTTTTCACGTTTTATGAAAAATGCTTTTGCAGTCTGATAACAAGTGTATAAACTTGAGGGTCAATAAATTTTGTAAAGTGTTAGCGTATTATGAAAATTTGTTCGTACAAACCGTTGCAGTTACAAGAATACATCTTTCAAAAAATAATAATTCAATGCTTATATTTATATTTTTAACATTCTGCCTCGTCTACAAATGTAATTTATATTTCAAAATCCGTTTATTATCCTTCGAATAATTTACAATTAATGGAAGAGCCATTGCAACAGCTAATACTGTTAAACTGTTCCATTTGAGCGTGAACAAACGCTGTAATTTGCACTTGCACGGCGTCAAACGTTTCTTCAAGTGACGTCAAACAAGAAATAATATCTTAAACTTTTAAACTCCCAGTCTGTGTTCAGGTATTTTGAATGCCATAGATTTCCTCATACTTTATCAGCAAAATACTTGTGGAATGTAAATGTGATCCTGTAGCAAAATGTTAAGAAGGAATTAAACTTAAGGTAGATCCTACTCAAAATGACGTCATCTTTTGTAGTACTTTTTACACTGCATTGAAAATATATATAAATCATTAGAAGACAATATTATAATTATTGTAGATCTTAACTTGTTTTTTGATGATATTGTATTAGTAGCGGCTCCATGTGTATTTCATTGCATGTTAAAAAGGTCTTGATATCAACTACATTTACATTACAAAATTTTGTATTTATATATACATTGTAGCATATACATGTAATGTTCAACAGTAATTTCAAAGTATAACATATTTCGATTTAGAAATAAAGATTTCTTTTGTTTTTCAATAAATAAAGCAATTTTGGTATTTTCTGAAGAAATATGTTTCAATGACATGTTTTTAAGGAGAAGATGATAGATCAATGTGTAAACATACATGTATATATTCCAGAAGCTATAGAAAGAAAAAAACAACGATCTGTTAAGTACTATATTCTTATAACCTTTTTGACAGCAGATTTAAATCTGATATTTTCAATTAGAAAATTATTGTAGGAAGAAACTTCTTACAGTATTACTGAGGTAATAATTAAGTGTCCTGTACAAGTCTCAAGAAATTCAGCAATGTTTACGATTTAAGACCAGTACATGAAACTATAAGTCCAAGTATTCTTAGAATATTCCAAAGCTTATGCAAAGCTCAGTCACACCACCACATAGCATAAAATAAATATTCTCGTCAGCATTTTGAACCACACACACACACACACACACACACACACACACACACACACAGAGAGAGAGAGAGAGAGAGAGAGAGAGAGAGAGAGCATGTATACCACAACACAGTGAATAGTACTAAAATTTATGGGGAGTGGAATCAAAGATAGACAAAAATTAGAAGAGTGTAATCTAAAGTTATTTATTTTTTAAGTTTCTATCTTATTAGGGATCATCTCAAAATGAAAATTAAAAATCTGCTCCTGATCCTCGATCACAAATTGTGCAGACGCTAATGATTGACAACTAAATGGACAAAAGTGGATATTTTGTTCTTGATTATTATTTATAAAAAAAAAATAAGGTATTAAACAGATAAAAAGAGTTATAGTTCATTTTCATTAACATGTATATTGAACTCTTTTGACTCCTGCGGTTATCCAATTTACGAGTTGATGTTTTGGATGTAAATGTATCGACCCGTTAATTTATTTTTAGAGAATTGCTTTTAAGTAAAGTCAATATAGAGTGTCTGTAAATTATAAGTATTGATATTCAGCTAATACATTGTGTACAAGGTTAATTATAAAGTAAATTTTTCGAAACATATCTGTTAAAAACACTAATTCTGAGAAAGTTTTCCATAGAAAACATGCACTATTCACAGGACCTCATTATTCTTGCTATTTGCCTTGTTTCTCCGATGGTTTTATCAGAATTAACAGATGGTATCTTTTCCTTAACACAATATGGAGAGATAGCATCAAATTCTTGTACTTTTAAAGAATTTTCGCTTGACAGTAGCACGGAATCTCCAGAAATACGATGTGGGATTGTCTGCGCTGCAGACCCTCATTGTGTTGGTATGGATATCTTAGAACTCGGAACTATCGCCTGCAGATTGTTACATGGTTTTCCCGCTTTTCTTCCTCTTCTCCCCACGTCATCAGTAAAATACGCACGTTTTCAGAAGGTATAATATTATCAAGAATTACATCAAGAAATTAATTCAATGTGTGATACTTGTGAAAACATCATTATATGTTTTCTCGGAATTGTGAATTCTTTGATAAAAATTGAGTTTTTCTTTGCAGTCAGAAGGAATCAGTATAGGTAAGAAAATCCAAATTCTTATTTCTAGCTCTATTTCAAAGAAAAACCATTTAAAAATTTTGTTTTAGAATTTAATTTAAAAAAATGTATAGAAATTATATATATATATATATATATATATATATATATATATATATATATATATATATATATATATATATATATATATATATATATATATATATATAGATAGATAGATAGATAGATATAAATATATAAATAAATAAATAAATATATATATATATATATATATATATATATATATATATATATATATATATATATATATATATATATATATATATATATATATATATAATTATTATTATTATTAAGCACACAAAGTTATGCATTTACTGATTGATCATTTAAATTAAAAAAAATAAGGTCAATAATGAAATAACGCCATTGGTGTCTAACAATATTACAAAATACACACATATTAAACTTAATTTTTTTAAGGCAAAGACTATTACTGTGATATTCAGCTGACGAACGGACGGGAAATATCAACCATTTGTCACGAGGATACTTATACCTGGATGGTAATTTATACTTTAACTTATCAATCCACGTTTTCCAAGTTTTTTTTTTATCTCTGTTAAGCGTACACATATCATTCAAGAACATACCTACAATACCTTATCGCAAAAATCACATCAGCAGGAAAAAACACTTTAAAGTAATAAAAATGTCATCATATGATTTGATATTATGATTATTCAACATTCTTTTTTTAATGGTATACGTACGAAGAAATATTCCATTTGAAAATCAAGGTACATGTAGTAAATGCTAAACTCATACCCAATTTAACAGATTCTCGACAAATATACAAAAAAGACATATCAAAAATTTTCAACCAAAATAATCCAATTTTAGACTATGATTTATTGTTTTTCTTAAACTGATAAGCCAATATAATCTCGAACGCTAAATGGCTTAAATAGGATACCTTGTATGGATAAAAATAGGATGAAATATGTGGAGATAACGAACAGCACCCGAGCCCAAAAGTCCATTAAACATTACAAAATAAGAGCAGAGCAAACACGAACCTCTAAAACTTCAAAGGTGGGACCAGGTGCCATGGAGGAGCGAGCATCCCCCGCCGCCCGGTCACACCGCCGTGTACTCCTTGCCATGATCGGGAAATAACTTAAAAATCCGTCGACAATTCAGTGTGTAAATAATGGCCTAAAAAATAGTATAAAAAAGTCAGTCAGCATTTGACTTAATGATAGATTGTATTTGCTGACGAGGTCATTGTATTCACCATAGAACTTACAAAATGATGACTTTAAACGAGACTGTTGATATTCTTGTTTCATCAACTTGTTTGTCAATAACTTACCTCGTTGTAGGAATTGTTCATACGTAGAGCATGCTCTGGCGTATCGAATCAACTGAGAGATAAAAACCCCGATTGCAGGTGATAAGGGTATATTGCTGCATAAGAAAGGGAAGTTGACGATTGAAAAGTTAAAGTCATCACGTTTATCATAAAGCTTTGTTGTTAGATTACCATTAAAGTCTTTTTCTAATAAAATATCCGAATATGAAACAGATGTGTCAGACTATGTGGCATCTTTTATCTCAAGCTCACCGGGATATATCGTGTCGACATAAGAATGGAAATAACCATGATTGTTAATTGACAATACGTCGTCGATATATCTAAATGTCGAGTTGAAGGCCACAGCAAGTGTTTTCTTCTTTTCAAGTAAAAGATTTTGAACAAATTCTGCTTCATATGAATACAAAGACAGGTCTGCTAATAACGGGGCGCAATTTGTACCCATGGGAATTCCAATAGATTGTTGGAAGACCTGGTCTCCAAAAACTACATAGATATTGTCAATCACAAACTCAAGCATCTTTTAAATGTCAACTTCAGAGTACTTGTGTGTCCAATCAGAGTATTTTTTAACAAAAATAATTTTGTAAATGACGAATGAAAAGGTAAGTAAATTACAAGTTCCATTTTTATTGAAAAAGCAGCTGTCTATGATGTCAGAAAGTCTGGACTTTAATTTATCGTGGGGAATAGTTGTATATAAAGTTGAAAAGTCGTAAGTTTTTATGTTGTTGATTTTGGTAAAATTTTGTGATTTTAAATGTTCCAAAAGTTCCTTGGAATTTTTTAGTATCCACATCTGATTTACACAGTGGATAATAGATTGCAAAATTAAGCCAAGAAAGATCCTCGTGAGATGTATTTTCACAACATATCAATGTATACAAAATTCATGTTGTATTAAACAAAGTTTGAATATTTTTAATTCACTAGTATGTATCATTATATTGCAAGAATTTTTTTTATCTTCTAGCTGTTCCAAAGAAGAATGGATGGATCAGTTAATTTCTGGAGAAATTGGACAGAGTATGAAAATGGATTTGGCTCTAAAGAATCAGAATTTTGGTTAGGTAAACGTCCCCCTTTGATTTTATGAATGAAACGATTCTTGGAAAAGGCAGGTTGATGGAGGCTGAACCTACATCTAGTCATGACGCCAAGTCTTTGCATTTAATCTACAATGATGATTACTTTTGTTTCCGTTAACACTTAGGAATTTTTTTAGTTTTGTGAGTGCTATTGGTTTATAAATCACGCATGTGTCACGTAGTCATATTTCTTAAAGCGGACAAGTGCTTCAAAAAATATGCTTACATGCAAGTCTTTCAAATACACACCAATTACATTCACAAACTAAAATTTAATGATTTCATATATATATATATATATATATATATATATATATATATATATATATATATATATATATATATATATATATATATATATATATATATATATATATATATATTCCACATGGATTTTATCTATAAAGTGTGTGGATAGGTACAGTATTCAAAATACCATAACTTGGACAGGGAGTTGAAAAGGTTACTAAGTATGATTCTTAATTATTTCGACGTCAGAGACGTTGAACGCTGTAAAGATACAACAACATGAGCGAAAAAATTTTAATTAATATTTTTTGAAAGATGTAGTTTCATAACGTGCTAACATGCGTTAATCAATTTGTTTGCACACACCGTTGCAGTTATGAGACTACATCTTTTAAAAAAATTATAATTCAGTGCTAACATTGTGACGTCACAATGTATATTTTTACGCGTGACTATACACGAAAATGGTATTTAAATCAATTTCATGGTTAGTTTAGTAAATAAAACCCACAGCAAATGTAAATATTTCGACATGATAATAACACAATATTGTTTTACTGGTATTTTAATTAAAGTGATATTAGAGAGGAAGAGAAAACGGGATACTATTATTTTATGGTCAGAAATCAATTTTGATAAATGGAATACGCACCTGCATATTTACCACTGTTCTACATGGCGTATTTAAACATTTTCTGTCTACTTTGAAAGTCTGTTGAGCGAAACATTTTTGTTGTTTAATGAGCAATAATTATTATTGTTCTAATGTAATTGTTAAAAATGTTCAGTAAGTTATCAGAAAATCACATCAGGGTAAAGTACAGTTGTGACTTTGTGATAAAGTTTTGAGAAAATAAAATTTATATATTGTATTTATTTTTTTCAGAATATACACTGAAATAAATCTTGGCCTATAAATTGTGTGGGAGTTTAATTTACAATCAATAAAAATGAAAGTAGTTTCCATTAATCGTCACCTTCGATAATCATTAAGTGTTTCCAAAACCAAGTGTTTCTGATACGCTCCCAAGCTAAGCATATCGTATCATTTCAAGAATCATTAAGTCACATGATTTAGACGCCATGGGTTGTATAATTAATTAAAATAATTTAATGGTTTTACAATAGGCATGGATCTAGAGCGATTATTTGAAAGGATCAATTCTTCAATTTTATTCTGCTGTGGCTATAGGCCAAATTAGATATTCTTACCAAAAGTGAACATTTATTTCCCTGGAATATAAAAGTCCAAATCCAAATGAAGACATTGTCTGTAAATACAGCTGTGCAAAACAATCGTTGATTTATTCTTAAAAAAGAAAGAAAATCAGAAATTTTGTAGAACGATAGGCCAAGGATTTGTTAAATATGGAAATAACGAACAGTATTCTAGCTTAAAGTCCATTTTAACAATACAAATCATGAGCAGAGCAAACACGGTCCTCCAAAAACATCACAGTTCGTATCAGGTGCTGTGGAGGAGTGAGCATCCCCTGCCAACTGGTCATACCCGCCTTATGCTCCTTGTCATGATCAGGAAAAACGAAATTCAGTTTGTAAATAATGGCCTAACAATTAGTATGAAAAACGTCAGTCAGCATTTGACTAATGATAGGTTGTATATGCTGACAAGGTCGTTTTCAACCATCAAACGTGCTAAATGATGACTTCAGACGAGACTTTTGATATCCTTTATGTCATCAACTTGTTTGTCAATAACTTGCTTCGTTTTAGAAATAGTTCATATGTAGAGCATGCGCTTGCGTATCAAATCAACTGGGAGATAAACACCCCATATAAAAGGTGATAAAGGTATATTGCTACATAAGATAGGGAAGTTGAAGAGTATCAAAAACGCTTGGCTCGCGAAAATTATATATATTTCAATCAGTATTCTTTTTTCCTTTTGATATGCAAACAGGCAACAGAGAAATTGCAGAGCTAACCAGCATGGGATACAGTTATCTCAGGATAGAAATGATGGACCACGATTGTACATGGAAATACGCAGAGTATAATACCTTCACTGTAGAAAACGAACAGAAAAAATACAGAATGCATGTGTCCGGATATAATGGAACAGCAGGTATGCTTCATTTTTTTTTTATCTTATTACAATATCATGCATAATTCATAAATTTATAAAGGTGGATTTTTTAAAAATGTTTTTTTTTTTGCACATTTAAAATCATTTCAACCTCTGTTGACGACATATTTACTTTATAAACTACTTTATATAAATTGTATATTTATATCTCACAGTAATTATATATAAACAATACATAAATGAAATCACGCAGAGGTCTCTATCATGAACAAAGGATATACCGTTCACGCATTGTTTTTGTCTCTACTTGAACTAACCATTAAAAGTTAATGTAATGTTTAAATACATGTATTACTAAAATATATTCTCTTCTTATGGGATTGTACGAGAAGTAATATTATAATAATAAGAGAGTTCAAGTTTTCTTTTCTTTCTGGAAGCGGCTCCTCCGAGACATACAGACAGATAGACGACGGACAAATCCCTAGGCATCTGACATGCTACGCAGCAAATAAGTCAACCCCAAAACATATTATCTACAGCACATTGTTTTGGTCATTTTTTTTTAACAGGAGACAGTTTTGCGTATCATAACGGCATGTACTTCAGTACCTTTGATAACGATAATGATATGTCTGGCTCCAACTGTGGTCAGATAAGACACGGAAGCTGGTGGTATCGCTCCTGTCACAAATCAAACCTGAATGGAGAGTACGGAAACACTGATTATTCCAATGGAATCAACTGGTACTACTGGAAGGGTTTCTACTACTCTATAAAGGAAGTGAGAATGATGCTGCGGAAACCTTGAGTTGAAGAATAGAGAAGGTTAATGTATCTAGATCACACAAGTGACGCTTTGAAATATATTGTTTCTTTTTTGTCTTTGTAATTGCATCCATGAATTTATCCATCAATTTGTAATATGCAGAGAGAGAGAGAGAGAGAGAGAGAGAGAGAGAGAGAGAGGTTATTGCCATCTTAACAATCATACCTACCATTAACCTAAATATCCGTATGTGATTCTCCAAGATACATGGACGGTACTCCGACTCTTCTGAATGGTCAACGTAAAGTTTTTGGTCACATCAATTGAATTAGACTGAAGAAGGAATTGTGCATTTAGTGATATGTTAAAGGTTTCTGCAATCTTTTGACTTCTTGCATTATCTACATTAGTTCTTCAAACATGTACATTTTTGTTTCCTTTCTGAAAAGCAGACACTTTGCAAGAAAAAATGCAAAAACATTTTAAAAGAGTTGGCTCAGAAATATCTCAATCTCAAAAAAAAAAAAAAAAAAAAAAAAAAAAAAAAAAAAAAATCAACCAAGGACACAAATTCTTTAAATCTTAATGATTCTTACTAGAGAACAGAGATAATTGATAACTGATTTTTCTTTTTCAGTTTGAACAGATATAAATCATAGATTATAGTTATTAAACATGTTGAATGGTTTCTGATAGATTACAATCCAACATCAGTTGAAACAAAAGAAGCTAACAATTTTAACCCTGACCAACTTTACAAAGTTCTTAAAATGCATGAGTACAAGAAGATATTTTTTTTTCATCGGCTAGTCATTGTATTCTATTAATATCTATATATGAATCAGATATAATCAAATCAACTGGGAGACACAAACTCCATATGCAGGTAATAATGGTATATTACTACACAAATAAGGGTAGTTGATGATAGAAAATTTGACGTCATCACGTTTATCATATTTTTGTTAAGTTGCTATAAACGTCTTTTTCTAGTAAATTTGTATGAATGAAATATGCGGAGATAACGAACAGTATTCTAGCTCAAGTCCATTAAACATTGCAAACAGAGCAAACTGGGACCTCTAAGACATCAGAGATGGGATCAGGTGCCATGGAGGAGTGAGCATCCCCTGCCGACCGGTCACATCCGCCGTGTGCTCTTTGTCATGATCGGGAAATAACAGAAAAATCCGTCGACAATTCAGTGTGTAAATAATGGCCTAATAATTAGTATGAAAAACGTCAGTCAGCATTTGACTCAATGATAAATTGTATTTGTTATATCGACCATAGAACTTACGAAATGATGACTTTAAACGATACTGCTCATATTCTTGTTTCATCAACGTGTTTGTCAATAACTTACCTCATTTTAGAAATTGTTCATACTTAGAGAATGCTCTTGTGTATCGAAGCAACTGAGAGATATAAACCCCGTATGCAGGTGAATATGAAACAGATATGTCACACTTTGTGGTAATTTTATTTCGAGTTCAGAGAGATGAATTCAGTTAATGCAGGGATGAAAATGGATTTTTTGTTAAAGATAAAACGTCGTCGATATACATAAATGTAGAATTAAGGCCACAACAAGAGGCTTCTACATTTCATGTAGAAGTTTTTGAATGAATTCTGCGTCATATAAATACAAAAGTAGGTCTGCTAATAATTTGCTAAAAGAAACCTATTGAAAGCAAATTATTTATCTCATTTATATATAATATATCAAAAGTGGTTTATCACAAATGTAAGATCACAATTTTTAAAACAGCCGTCATCGTCTTTGTGAAAAAATGATTCTTGGTTATCACTAGAACACCTTTTTAATGACTGATGCCATGACCAAGCAGACTGCCAAAGAGAATGGAAATGTTCTGATTCCATGATCACGTGATCATATAAAATATTAGGTATATTAGGGTTATTTTCTTCTAACAGTAGCCTGTCGATCACGGATTGGTAAAGATTCGGAGACAGACGGAAAACGAATTCTTCATTTTCTCTGAGCTTATTTCTACGTATTCGTTGAAGTAACTCTTTTACGCTGCTATTTTCAATGAAGACTTTTAGGCCTTTTGGGCTTATTGTCAGGGAAGCAAGAATAGCCTCAGTGTAAATACTGATATGTAGAATAAAGCAATCTGTTGAAACTGGGTAGGCATAGCTTTTCATGTGACATTCCAAAAGAGTTTCTACATCTTTCCATCCCTTCACCTTGGCTACTGTATAAGAACAAATGTTTTCATAAATTACTTTACGTTCTTTAAATAGGTTGGCCGAAATCAATCCATCATTTAAAGCCATGAAAACTAAAACACAGAAAATGTCTCTATTTCTGGAATCCGATGAATTGCTCATTTCAATGAAAAGGACTTTTAACGATTCCATAAATCCATGGCACAATATATTTTCTTTCGATTTGAATAGCAGAGTATTGTTAGCTATTATCTGAAAAACTACTTGGAATCCTATGTTGTCGCGTTTTGCTACGTCAGATAAAGATTTGACAAGACCTTTAATGCTTTCTTTGTCCGATTTTGAAGGTTGGAAAGGTATAGAAACAAGGAAATCCTTTTTGCCATCTTCTTGGTTCAACTTGGTAATTTCAAATCCATTGTTAAGCAAATGGTTCATCAATATAACTATTTTTTCATCTTCATTCGAATACAAAACCTGAACAGTTTGTGAACTCGGGAACAATTTGCATGGATCTGAACAGACTTTGATACCTTTTAAAAATTTTGCCCAAGCACTGTCTGTTGCGGTGAGCACAATGTACAACATCTTATTAGAAACAAACTTGGTATACAGCCTTTCAAACACTTCAAAGGCCTTTAAACAATGGCTTCGAAGGTATCTACACGCCTCCAATACACCACACATATACAGAACTGTGATACAGGTAGAATCGATATTATCCTCTATATTGTCTAGTGAACACGTAAATATTGATACACATTTCTTCCCATTTATTGTTTTACCAGAGTTTTCCTTTAGTACCCGAACAGCAATGGAAGTTTTTCCGCTCCCTCGTGGTCCAATGACGGCAACAGAACCAAATTTATCCAAATGTTCACTTAACGATTTGAACGCCATCGTCTTGTGAAAAGTGTTGTCGTTGTCCAAATAAGGTCTTATATCTGAAATATTTTAAGATGTTCCTTCATTATAAATATTAAACTGAGAGCAACGCTTTCCAACCTTTGAATGTCAGAATAATAACTGAGAATATCTTTTAGTCTAAATATGGTCATTATTTGATAAACGTATTCCGTCATCTCTCAAATTCATTATTAAACTTGTCACATTGGAAGCCAAGGGGAGCTATTGGAAAGTTTGTAAATTAAATACACTATAGCATTTGTTCATTTTGGTTAAGACAATTCAAACGCTGTATGACTTTAAGAACGAACAAACAAAGCTAGAAAAAGCGTATTGAGGAATTTAAGAAATGTTATTTAAAAGCTTAAGTAAATAACATGATTACAACTGTACTAGATAAAATATAAACAGTTATAAATTCTATAGTTTATATATGGATAATGATTTTTATACAGAACCTTTAAAACACTTTTAACTACTGCAAATCCCTTTTTTTTAATTCTCGATAATTTTATTTTCGAGTAATTATGCGAATCCGTCTGTTCGCAAAGTTTTTTTTTATTCTCTTTATTAAAGTTTATATAGAACAATAACCAGAATTCTTGAAAATTCAGTCTGATTAAAATCAAACCTTACACTAGCTCCTTTATTTTGATGGTCGCGACCATCAAGATAAAAGGAGCTAATAGAAAGTTTGATTTTAATCAGACTGATTATAATTCTACCTCACTTATACAATATTACTATCTCACAAAAATAAGGTATCAGAAAAATTTGGTGATTTACAGTATTACTCACTCATTGGAATATCAGGCAGGTACATCAAGGCATCTCTTCTCTCTGTAGAATTGGAACAGTCATTACAATCATACGAATAAAAGTCGGAAGAACTTTCTATATCATCTTCTGGGTTTGTTTTAGAATCTAAATTGACAGAAAGATAAAGATAATTGAATGGTTTTCTTTTCAAATATAGAATGTGACATGCAATCTGAGATTATAGAACGAAGTAAAAAATGTATTTCATTGTAAACCTTTTCAAAAATAATATTCATGGCACTCTGGGCACTAGTACATTATGTTTAGTCATTGGCTTCTAAATGCAGCTCTTGGATTTATTGTTTTCATGCCTTTCGAAAACATAAAGAATTTTACTGTAACTTTCTGCTGGATATGACTCTTAAAAGAGGTTTACCCATGTATGTCTAGCCGCATATATATCCTCGTCCTAACCCTTTTAGCAATGATTTAAAAAAATATATATGATTTTGCATTGCCCGAGGAAGCGTGTATATTTTAATTATGAATAAATGCTTTCCTGCTGTTTTTGATGATTATTTGAAATATTTTTTCTTATAATTTCCAATGTGAAAATTTGATCTCCTATAGTCGCGGTGATTGGTTTCAACTTCCCCTTAGAGCCATGATTTAAAGAAACTTTAATCTTCACTATCTGAGGGTGCTTTCATATAAGTCAGACTAACGAATTTATGCCCAATTCCTAATTGCTCAAACCCTTCATATTTCTTTATAAAATAACTACTAGTATAACTTAAAATCGGATTTGATAAAAGCTCAAATTTATTCATCTTTAGTGTTTATTTTTTCAAAATTGTCATGTGATGTAATTTCCCAATCAGTGATAAAATTTCATTAAAAGAGACGTTGGATGTCGATGAAAAAACGCCTAACAAGCATGCAAATGAGACACTGTATTGTTGTGGACTTAAAGTCAGAAGCTGGAACGATATCTAATATGTTGATGCGACCGTTTGGGCGAGCGCAGATAATTTGGATCCGTCTCTTCCATGCAATGCACGTGGCATTTGGTACGTCTAGACTCTGACGTCACATGATGTCGTATGTAAATTGCATTAATAAACGGAAGCTTGAACAATGCTTATTTTAAATAAAGAACGTTTAATCTGCTATTTATCTGC